AAATTAAAGCCCTTTCAAAATCCTACATTTTGGACTACATGGACGACCCTCTACTCCCAGTAGAAGCGGAGATATTGACGGATGAAGGCTGGATATCGACGGAGAAAGGTTGGAAACTTTAACCTTCGATATCTCCTAAACAGTTAGAGATACAGGCTCGGACTGGTACCAAATTAAAGCCCTTTCAAAACCCTACATTTTGGACTACATGGACGTCTCTCCACTCCCAGTAGAAGCGGAGATATCGACGGAGAAAGGTTGGAAATCTTTAACCTTCGATATCTCCTAAACGGTTAAAGATACAGGCTTCGGACAGGTACCAAATTAAAGCCTTTCAAAACCCTACATTTTGGACTACATGGACGACCTCTACTCCCAGTAGAAGCGGAGATATCGACAGATGAAGGCTGGATATCGACGGAGAAAGGTTGGAAAACTTTAACCTTCGATATCTCCTAAACGGTTAGAGATACAGGCTTCGGACTGGTACCAAATTAAAGCCCTTTCAAAACCCTACATTTTGACTACATGGACGACTCTCTACTCCCAGTAGAAGCGGAGATATCGACGGAGAAAGTTGGAAAACTTTAACCTTCTGATCTCCTAAACGGTTAGAGATACAGGCTTCGGACAGGTACCAAATTAAAGCCCTTTCAAAACCCTACATTTTGGACTACATGGACGACCCTCTACTCCCAGTAGAAGCGGAGATATCGACGGATGAAGGCTGGATATCGACGGAGAAAGGTTGGAAAACTTTAACCTTCGATATCTCCTAAACGGTTAGAGATACAGGCTTCGGACAGGTACCAAATTAAAGCCCTTTCAAAACCCTACATTTTGGACTACAATGACGACCCTCTACTCCCAATAGAAGCGGAGATATCGACGGATGAAGGCTGGATATCGACGGAGAAAGGTTAGAAAACTTTAACCTTCGATATCTCCTAAACGGTTAGAGATACAGGCTTCGGACAGGTACCAAATTAAAGCCCTTTCAAAACCCTACATTTTGGACTACATGGACGACCCTCTACTCCCAATAGAAGCGGAGATATCGACGAATGAAGGCTGGATATCGACGGAGAAAGGTTAGAAAACTTTAACCTTCGATATCTCCTAAACGGTTAGAGATACAGGCTTCGGACAGGTACCAAATTAAAGCCCTTTCAAAACCCTACATTTTGGACTACATGTACGACTCTTTACTCCCAGTAGAAGCGGAGATATCGACGGAGAAAGGTTGGAAAACTTTAACCTTCGATATCTCCTAAACGGTTAGAGATACAGGCTTCGGACAGGTACCAAATTAAAGCCCTTTCAAAACCCTACATTTTGGACTACAATGACGACCCTCTACTCCCAATAGAAGCGGAGATATCGACGGATGAAGGCTGGATATCGACGGAGAAAGGTTAGAAAACTTTAACCTTCGATATCTCCTAAACGGTTAGAGATACAGGCTTCGGACAGGTACCAAATTAAAGCCCTTTCAAAACCCTACATTTTGGACTACATGGACGACCCTCTACTCCCAATAGAAGCGGAGATATCGACGGAGAAAGGTTGGAAAACTTTAACCTTCGATATCTCCTAAACGGTTAGAGATACAGGCTTCGGACAGGTACCAAATTAAAGCCCTTTCAAAACTCTACATTTTGGACTACATGGACGACCCTCTACTCCCAGTAGAAGCGGAGATATCGACGGATGAAGGCTGGATATCGACGGAGAAAGGTTGGAAAAATTTAACCTTCGATATCTCCTAAACGGTTAGACATACAGGCTTTGGACTGGTACCAAATTAAAGCCCTTTCAAAACCCTACATTTTGGACTACATGGACGACTCTCCACTCCCAGTAGAAGCGGAGATATCGACGGAGAAAGGTTAGAAATCTTTAACCTTCGATATCTCCTAAACGGTTAAAGATACAGGCTTCGGACAGGTACCAAATTAAAGCCCTTTCAAAACCCTACATTTTGGACTACATGGACGACCCTCTACTCCCAGTAGAAGCGGAGATATCGACGGATGAAGGCTGGATATCGACGGAGAAAGGTTGGAAAACTTTAACCTTCGATATCTCCTAAACGGTTAGAGATACAGGCTTCGGACAGGTACCAAATTAAAGCCCTTTCAAAATCCTACATTTTGGACTACATGGACGACCCTCTACTCCCAGTAGAAGCGGAGATATTGACGGATGAAGGCTGGATATCGACGGAGAAAGGTTGGAAAACTTTAACCTTCGATATCTCCTAAACAGTTAGAGATACAGGCCTCGGACTGGTACCAAATTAAAGCCCTTTCAAAACCCTACATTTTGGACTACATGGACGTCTCTCCACTCCCAGTAGAAGCGGAGATATCGACGGAGAAAGGTTGGAAATCTTTAACCTTCGATATCTCCTAAACGGTTAAAGATACAGGCTTCGGACAGGTACCAAATTAAAGCCCTTTCAAAACCCTACATTTTGGACTACATGGACGACCCTCTACTCCCAGTAGAAGCGGAGATATCGACAGATGAAGGCTGGATATCGACGGAGAAAGGTTGGAAAACTTTAACCTTCGATATCTCCTAAACGGTTAGAGATACAGGCTTCGGACTGGTACCAAATTAAAGCCCTTTCAAAACCCTACATTTTGGACTACATGTACGACTCTCTACTCCCAGTAGAAGCGGAGATATCGACGGAGAAATGTTGGAAAACTTTAACCTTCTGTATCTCCTAAACGGTTAGAGATACAGGCTTCGGACAGGTACCAAATTAAAGCCCTTTCAAAACCCTACATTTTGGACTACATGGACGACCCTCTACTCCCAGTAGAAGCGGAGATATCGACGGATGAAGGCTGGATATCGACGGAGAAAGGTTGCAAAACTTTAACCTTCGATATCTCCTAAACGGTTAGAGATACAGGCTTCGGACTGGTACCAAATTAAAGCCCTTTCAAAACCCTACATTTTGGACTACATGGACGACTCTCTACTCCCAGTAGAAGCGGAGATATCGACGGAGAAATGTTGGAAAACTTTAACCTTCGATATCTCCTAAACTTTTAGAGATAGAGGCTTCGGACAGGTACCAAATTAAAGCTCTTTCATAACCCTACATTTTGGACTACATGGACGACCCTCTACTCCCAGTAGAAGCGGAGATATCGACGGATGAAGGCTGGATATCGACGGAGAAAGGTTGGAAAACTTTAACCTTCGATATCTCCTAAACGGTTAGAGATACAGGCTTCAGACTGGTACCAAATTAAAGCCCTTTCAAAACCCTACATTTTGGACTACATGGACGACTCTCTACTCCCAGTAGAAGCGGAGATATCGACGAAGAAAGGTTGGAAAACTTTAACCTTCGATATCTCCTAAACGGTTAGAGATACAGGCTTCGGAGAGGTACCAAATTAAAGCTTTTTCAAAACCCTACATTTTGGACTACATGAACGACCCTCTATTCCCAGTAGAAGCGGAGATATCGACGGATGAAGCCTGGATATCGACGGAGAAAGGTTGGAAAAATTTAACCTTCGATATCTCCTAAACGGTTAGACATACAGGCTTTGGACTGGTACCAAATTAAAGCCCTTTCAAAACCCTACATTTTGGACTACATGGACGACTCTCTACTCCCAGTAGCAGCGGAGATATCGACGGAGAAAGGTTGGAAAACTTTAACCTTCGATATCTCCTAAACGGTTAGAGATACAGGCTTCGGACAGGTACCAAATTAAAGCCCTTTCAAAACTCTACATTTTGGACTACATGGACGACCCTCTACTCCCAGTAGAAGCGGAGATATCGACGGATGAAGGCTGGATATCGACGGAGAAAGGTTGGAAAACTTTAATCTTCGATATCTCCTAAACGGTTAGAGATACATGCCTGGTTCTGGCACCAAATTAACGTCCTCTCAAAACCCTACATTTTGCCGTAAGTAGCGATTCTCTACTCCCAGTAGAAACGGAGATATCAACGGAGAAATGTTGGAAAACTTTAACCGTCGATATCTCCTAAACAGGTCTGTTTCTGTCACGAAATTAAAGTCCTCTCAGGACCCTACATTTTCGACTACATTGACGACTCTCTACTCCCAGTAGAAGCGGTGATATCAACGGATAAAGTTGGGAAAACTTTAACCTTCGATATCTCCTCATTGGCTAGAGATACAGGCCTGTTTCTGGCACCAAAATAAAGTCTTCTCAAAACCCTACATTTTCCCGTAAATGACGACTCTCTACTCTCAGTAGAAGCGGAGATATCAACGGAGAAAGGTGGGAAAACTTTAACCTTCGATATCTCCTAAACGGCTAGTGATACAGGCCTGTTTGTTGCACCAAAATAAAGTCTAAAATAAAGAGTTTAGTCGAAATCGATTGCTATTGATCATCTCGTTGGATTCACGCCGAGAATGTAACGTCAGTTTCGGCCGTGTGTCGGGAAGCACAATCTCGGCAACGTTGCGAATCAGAACGAGATGGAACGAACATATTCCCTCTGTTTCTCTCTTTCGCTTGGCTCGTCAAAACAAGTCGAGCGTAAGGTGGGACCTCAGACGGATAGACGGGAGCAGTTTCTCTGGGTGTGTGTGCCGACTACATTCTTACATAGAAACGTACGGCAATTGAAAATGTTTAAACATATACCCTGAAATTCTATCTGTTGCGTATGACACGTGTGTGTGTGTGTGTGTGTGTGTGTGTGTGTGTGTGTGTGTGTGTGAGTGCGTTTATGCACACGTACGTCACGCACACTTTCAACGCTAAAAAACGCCTGCCGGAGTATAAATAAATACTAACGTAACGCTGAAATATTTTGGAAAAATAATTTTGGGTACACACAAAATATTATCTTATTATCATATATTTATATATCGATATAAATTGTATATAATCTTCATGATATTAATCATATGCAATCTCAATTCTTATTTTTTTTGTGCATGTTAACATGTTAATTCATGTTACAAATGCATAACAATGCGCGAGACCGTGCTTGTCAAGTACGCTTTCATGGTTGTAGCACGGACATAAACCGCCTGAAAGTGGATGTAGCACGGACAGCCACCAGATGCAGGTTTTACCGTCGAGACCTAAAAGTGGATGTAGCATCGTAGTTCCGCTCTCAAAATGGGTGTAGATAGCGCCCATTCCCAGTGCAAAAAATCGGTGTCGCCGAAAACGCCGTGTTGGCCGCTCTCAGCTTCCTCTCTGCTACACTCTCTGCTAATAGGTTATTGTAGAAGGCCCATTAAAGTCTATAGTTCTATATGGTCTATTTCTAGTCACTAGCTGTAAATTCACTAGCAATTCACTAACTGAGGTTCGATTCAACATGAACCAATCGTGTGTCATTAGTTTGAATCAGTCGTTATTTTTCGTCGGTGTGGAACGTGTAAACTTGTGTTGTATCATGGAAAAATGCTGATTACAGGTTTTGATGGTTTTCGATTTATTTTAATTCATTATGTTAAATGACTTGTTACAATTTGTCAAATGCAATATCTTCTCACATCCTCTGATCACGAATTTTGATTAACAGGTTTATTAAAATGACAGAAAATGAAACAAAACAAGCTTGCTTGAAGTTTTTAAAAAATCTTAAAAGTAAGTACAAACATAATATACATAATTGGTTTACTGTTATACATGCATTCTCTTTAACTTTTATGCTTAAAATAATTTTGTCACATGATTTTTATGTGAAAAAATAATTGAGTATGAGAAAGATACTTAGTGCCAGCAGATTAAATACAAGATCAATAATCTTCTAATCTATGAAAATATATGAAATATCGAGAAGACTGAAATGAAGAAAATCATATTACTGGCCACATATCTTTTGCATTCATGATTAACTGTAAACATTTCACAAACATATTAGGAAGAATAAATTATTAAAAAAAATATGTATCAAATGAGTCTATCCTATATATTACAGAGTACCAAATATACCATGTATATATTAATAATCAATGTTTATATCAAGAATTTTATTTTGATTTTTTTTCAGCAAAAGATGTGTTTGCTGATTTTGACACATGTCTTACTATATTACAAGAAGAAGCTACTACAAAAGGATTAGACGATGATGTTCTTGATCATCTTGTAGACGCTATTATACATAAAAATTTAGGTTAGTAATATATTGCATATGTGCATGATGAAATTTTAGTATTGTAAATTTTGATAAATTTTAGTGCTTGTTTATTTTACAAATAGAATTTAAAAAATTGCATATTAGGTGCATTTAGATGGATCTCTTTAATAAAGTGCTTAATTCCAAAGTACAAGCTACCTGAGAAAGTAGCAAAATCTATAATCACTTGGTGTCTTTCTTCCCTAAATGAGATACCAATTTCTGTTTCTACACTTGTTATACAATGGACCATAGGTAATATAAATCTTATTATATAAAATTGCCTTGTTTTATGTAATGATATGAGCATTTGTATTTTATATATTGTTTCTTATATATACATATATATATATATATAAAAGGTATAAGAATATATTTATATATTAAAATATTAATATTTAGGTTTGTGGGATTATGAATTAATAGATAGAAAAGTAATCAACATATACTACGATGTTTTTTTTTACACAATGCTTAAGAAACAAAGACTGGTAATATATATGCATATTTTGCTTCACATTTTTTTATATTAAAATACAAGAATATTTTGAAAAATATTAAAATATAAGTTTGGCTTTCTTATTAATATGATATTTGAAGAGACTTTAATCATTCCAAAAATAATTTTAAATATTTGCTTTAAAGGAATATTTCAATATTACAGTAATAATATTAGAGTGATATAAAAACAAATTTTAGGAACGTCATATAGCACGTCTCATCTATGTATTAACAAAACCAGAGGATGTTTCTCGGAGAGATGTCTCAAGATTATTAATTCTTCAAAGAAGTTATTCTAAACCTGCTAAACATATTACTGCATTACTTTCGTAAGTATAATTAAATAAGGTATTGAGTTGGTTAATAGCATAAAAATATAATTTGAAATATACTCCTAGCTTATTTAAATCATATAAACCGGAATTGGTACCTGAGAAAATAGAGTCGATGAATATAGAAAGTGTGTGGAAACCATTACCTGAGAACATACGATTGTCATTGGAAGATGCTAGAGATCGTGCGGAAATCCAACAATCACGTCAGAGCAATAAAATTCATTTTGATTGGAACATAATGCAGGTACAGAATTTATGCACATGAGTATTTTATGTACATGTGTAATTGTGGAGAATTTATTGAGATAGAAATCATGAAAATTTATGTATATATAGGATAGAAAAAGTAAGAAGAAAAAAGTGCTCTTACCCTCTGTTGGATATTTTCACATTGGTTCAAGTATTTTCAAAGACAAAGATGCAAAGTCAATTTTTGACATAAGCAGGTGAACAAAGAATAAAATTAGAATAATATTAGTTATCTATATAGTATTAACATATATAGTGTCAGAAATGAGTGTATATGTGTTCTGTATGTATGTAACTAATATGTTATCAAATATGTGTATGTATATATCTATATATTCATGCAACATATTTTAGCATAGAAGAATTAGGAAAATACCATCAGAGTATCGAATTACCTTGTAATGCTATTTCCCTCTTATCAAACATGGCTGGTTACCATCTTCTTACATATGCAGACCTTCAGTATCAAAGTAGATTCTCATATAATCTTTATAACACACTTACAAGAGGTACGTTATATGTTCATTTCTTAATTGCTGTCAGTTTCATAATATTATGTAAACTGCAAAATTAATATATTAATATTTTAGCATTTATATTGGAAAATGGAAAGTTTTCCGATGAAGAAATGGATAAATTACTTACCATGACTGCTGAGTTTTCTCGATATATGCAAGAGGGAATACTTGTAATTAAACTATTCTTTGCTGAATATTTCTATTTTAATTCAGGAGAATATCTGTTGAAATTACTGGATTTGTTGCAATGGATGACTAACGTATCCACTGTTGGTTCGTTGAAAGAAGCATTCTAATTGATATTACTGAAAAAAATTATGGAAGGTATAATATTATAATTTTCAGAGTTGCGAGAGAATATCCTGATACACGTGCAAAATGTATTTTACGAATCAGATTTAGCTATGAAATGCGAAATTATTAAGTCTTTGCGGAAGTTAATTACAAATTTGGTAAAGACCTATTTAATGCATGTAGATCTTTATATATATTTTATGATAATATCAGTATAGTAAGAAATAATATAATATAAGAATGTAGAAATTCCATAAGAGCATTGATTAGGATTATTAAAATAGATAAAATTAGTTTGGCTGAATAAATTTGAGATGGTATCTTATTTAAGTAATGTACCAGTATAAAAGTTGTGCTTATTACAGTACGTAAGACAAGGTCTCGAGGAACGAATCACATCATCTTTTTTACAACAAGATCCACTAGAGGATTTAGCAGATGTTATGCCTGTGATTACAACAATTTCAAAAAATCTCATCATCAATGGACTGAATACGCACAATTACAACGTCTTGTTATTATCGGAAACTTTAACATTTTATGAAGAGGTATGTACATATAGCAAAGTATATATAAAGTAAAATATTTATGTCTAGTTGATACATCACCATCAATATATATTATATATCCTCTGTTTCCTCAAAGATTTGTACATTGGAAAGTCGCAGTCGAATACCATCTTGGACACTGCCACCGCCAGCGGTTATTTATGGAACGTTTGTTACAAAGAGCTGCGCTTTTTTGTCGAGACTTTGCAGATTGTTATTAAGGTGTTCTAACTTCATATTTTCAAGTTAACCCCGCTTTATTTATTACTTATATTTGAATTGTCACAGATATCGTGAAATGAGCCGACGGCTGCGTCATATGATGCCATCGGATATGTATGAAGAAAAGATTCATGTTATAACTATATATGCAAATGATATTTATAAAGCGTTATGGAGTAACGAGGTATGTATAAGTAGGAAGCAATAGGAGCTATTAAGCGACCTATATAAATATAAATAGACAGTATTTAAAGATATCTTTTTTTTAACAGCCTTTCAGTGCTCGTAAGACTGGTGACTTTCTGAAAGATCTTTCGAAAAAAGTAATTGATGATTTAGGAGATTGCGACTTGGACTCTTTATTGAGCATTAGCAATCATTATGCCATATTACCGTACAAGTATACATTAAATAAAATGGGTTTGGATATAAACACGAAAGAGGTATATCTTGAGTATTTAATTATTTTATATATTTTTAATTCTTGATGCTTTTAATTCTTTAGGACTCGACAAAGTCTCAATGCACTTAACGAGATATTGATCATGCATATCACTACAATATGAAATACGATATTACAGTTTTGAAAATAAGCATCTGGAGACTTTGCTTTAAATAACAATTTTATTTATTTTTTTTTCTTTTAGGATACTATGGCTATGGCCTTATATTATTTTTCCGCAGTAAATGAGTTTCTTGCCGCATTTCACGACTGACATCTTAATGTTGTATATATACGTACATGCATACGTTTACACATTTATACACACAATTGAATAAACATAAACAAATTTCTGACGCTGATTGAAGAAGAGTGTGCTATTTACATTCAAATAGATCCAATATATAACCGATTTTAGTATTGTTAAACAAATGTATGAGATTAAATTTTTTAAATAAATATTGATTTTGCACATACATTTATCTTATTACGTTATTTTCGTAAATTACACCAAACATAAATATACCAATTTTGAAGAAATCTTTTTTTGTATATTGATAAAATCATTGTTATAGTTGTATGTGTTTAATATATGTTTGACAAAAATTTATAAAATGAGCTGCACTCTTCCTTCTATATAAAGAAAATTTATCAATTCAATGTAATGTAAATAAAAACCAAATACATATGTTATTTTCCATGTAAGAATAATTTATATTATTACATTGGAGTCCTTCAATTATTATTCTAAATGAGACAGATATTCAACTTATGTCAACAATCAGACAAAAATGAACGCCTATAATACTTAATTTAAAGCTACAGGTTTTTTATATTGTATAATCTACCCATAACGAAATCTTACGCACTATCAAAAATATTAAAAACTAACGTTTCAGTTTTATTTAGTTCAACATTAGCTATTTCACAAGTACAAATTTAATAGGTCATGTATTTGTCCGCTTTATCATGTGATATTTTGATTAGAGTTGAGATTGTAATATATGTTAAATTCACAGGAGATACACAAAAAACGTTATAAAGGAACTAAAAATAATAAATGTAGAACTTATATGAGTTGCCTAACAAAGTATTACACATTGAAATGTATCAATAATTTAGAAATGAACACAAAAGAAAATAAACTAGATTAGAAAACCGAAAGCGTAACCACTCTATAAGTGTTAACCGTATAAATGTTAACAAATGTAAACATCGCAAATAAAGATTTATTTGCAATGTCTGTGAAAACCTTTGATTTCATGAAAACACGATGGGGGGGGGGGGTTTAGTATCTCCTCGAATGAATGAAGCGGGTGAATAAATATTACGAGCAGAGAAAACTACACACACCGATATGTCATATCTTTATTAAGTGTTAATATAAAAATAAAAGTTAAATATAGCAAATATGGGAACAGTAAACGCTCCTACAATAACCTCGGAAATTAAATGTATGATAGAATTTATTTTGCCATTATATCTATATATGACAATACGTTTTATTATTCAACTTCTTCGATTTTTCTGCTTCGTATATACTTAAGAAGCTTCAACTTTTACAGTTTAATAACGCAAAGAGTAGGTAGCATTTATGTTCAATGATGTAAACAAAATGTGCTAGTCTGTGTCACATACTCATTAGTGAATCATGTCTTACGAGTTTCGAATTGGATACACTAAGGGCAGTGACTTTAGCCTTAAACAGTAAAAGATTGTTCGGTGTAAAAACAATATATATATATACACGTTATGAAAATTATGAAACTCTGCTTTCAGCTAATTTTAATGAACGAATTATGTTATATGGCACGAACAGATTAATCCTCATTCAATTATATTCGTAAAGTATCGGCCATAAATCTTATTGTGTGTATTCTCTTGTATATAATGTAAGATACTTATGTGGTATTCGTACATTATTTTATCTCTCCTGCCTTCTACATTATTAATGAACGAACAATGCAAATCCTTAGTGATTTTGTATGGGTATTCTTTATGAACCACTAATGTATTGCTTTTCCTCAGTTAAGTCGTAAGAACGGAGACTCCAATTTCGTACGAAGATGCAAGTTAATTGTAAAATACATAGAAAACTTTTTACACTGCACCTCCAATTCAATATGTTTTGCAAGATATTCGATACCACGCTCAAAAAAAATGAGGATAGGGGAAACAACGAACTAAATAACTTTTAGAAATACTATGCAATTAATATTTCAAAGAGAGTTAATGTGTAAAAATATTATTTTCTCTTGATTATGTTTAATTTTACAGACGAGCAGAATAAAAGTTATAAGATATTTGTAATATTTCAGGCTTTCGAGAAATTAACAGTAATGAAAAATGAAATGATCCAAATGCATTTATAAGGATACTGGATCTAATAAATAAATACGTACAAAATATCTGTGTGTGAACATGACTAATATGAAAAAAAAAAAGAAAGATTACTAAACACTTTAACGTGTCTTATCATATTATTCATATCTTTGTTTTAGATTCTAGAGTATGTAGTTCCAATCAGTGTGTCAAGTCGAAAATGAATCATTATGAACACAATATATATTCCTCTTTCGTTTAAACTTGCGATTTTAGAAATCACCTCTACGTAACATCGACGTAATCATTTCCTGTGTAGATCTTACAATAGATAATCGCTCACGTGATCATAAAATTAATTGTCACAACACTAATTGGATTTTCTTAAATTTGCTTAAATTTACAGGAATAAAAGAAACATTCATTGCGTTCAGCGGAGAAAACCGCTCAGTGAGCGATTAGTGACTATTGGTCCTTATTGTTAGATTCAGACCAATAACGTTGACGTTGATTATTCAACAGTTGCTCAACCGTTGAGTGTCGTGAACGCACCCATTATCGTCGTGATACATGATCTATAAGTTCATGAATACTGCAAATCGGACTACATCTCTTTCACATACGCAGACATCTTCAAATAAAATCTGACGTAACGTTTATATTTGCGGTGAATGAGAAACAGTATTCGTATTCGCCCAAACGGTACGTAGTCTATTTGTTTTATGCAAAACGTAAATGAGATACTGTATGTTCAATGATATACGCTCTGAAAATATAAAAATACGTAACATTTCTTAAATCTGTACAAGATGCAAAAGTAATTCCCTTGAATAGAAAAGTTATTTGAGCGAAAACGAACTGTTGGCAATGTGGAATTACATTTTATTCGGCATGCGTAACATTCTAAGAAAATATAACCTTTCGGCCAATGGGGAATATATTCGGTAAATTATGTAAAATGTAGATCACACTAAAATAAGATATTTTCGTAAACATTTCACTTGTCAGAACGCCAAGAAAGCTAATTGTTACTACGGATCAAATTGTTTCAGCTGTGCAGGTTTCATCTTGATCACCTTGTCTCAAATTTTGAACATTAATCTTTGGCACAGTATATCAATTAAGCAAAACTAATTATAACTATATATGAGAAACAATAACATAAATGTAACGTTAAATTACATGTCACAATTAAGTGTGTGTTCACGAGACGCACATACATACAACACATACTTTCTTGTTTTAACTAAATCTATATCAAAATATTTGTTGGAACATATGTATGTACATATAGAGATATTTGTACATACATATATGATTTACAAACATAAATATATATGTGTATGTATATGTATGTATGAGTGTTTGTCTAATGATTGCTTAAATACGTCAAAGTTTGTCGGAAGAAAAGAAAAATAAAAGTATAATAAACTCCAAAAAATTAATCAATTCTCTATAATTAAGAGTGTTATACATAGAATTTTATGATCTATGTATAGATGTCCAAAATACATCTATGTGATTTACCTATGCGAGTAGAGTTATATTTATATGTATGTATGTATCGATATAAATATAAATATATATTAGTATTTACATTTGTAATACATTGCAGATATGTATTACACATTAGAGATATATATTTATATTTATATCATTTATATTGCTAGTAAAGTAACTATTCAGGACGTCGTCTTTATGATGATGGTCAGTTCATTTGATGTGTATTACGAGGATTATACTTACGTATGCTATACGCAAGTATATACATACATATTGTCTCCAACACTCACACTGTCCTTGCGTTACGACAAAGAACTATTTCACTTCACTCTTAGCTATAACACTTTTGTACACAGAGCAGTTTGTATCTATCATAGAAAGAACGATATATATATATATATATATACATATATCGCGCGAGTGTATGTGTGTGTATGTATTTATATACTATACATGCACATTATATGCAAAATGTATATACATACATATATATATATATATATATGTACATATATATATGTATGTACGTATACATACACACGTATATAACAGCTTCACAGTTAACAGTAAATGATAAAATAAAACAGATCAGTCCCAACTATCGCCACTCGCCCTGTCGTCGAGCTCATCTTCATCAGAGGCCACACTTTCGTACAGGAAATTCGGCTCTTCTAGGAACTGTTCTTCATTTCTTTTCAAGTCTAATTTGCGTCTTTTTGTCGCGAATGCGAGCTCATCTTCCGCTGTTCGTTCCTTACGGAATTCGTAGACTAGTGGATAAATATATTCAATTGCCGCTTGAACCGAAGCGACGTTGGGGGCTGTGATACAACACACATACAAAAAATTACGTAGTAATTTTGCTTTTATACGCTTGTCGTTATTGTTTGCGATGATATCAATCGTAACAATCGTGAAACGATATATATCTTGTGTATGATGTAAATATATTTAAAATTGATATTTAATTTCCCAATAAACAAACCGTTAACAGTCTGCTAGCAGTGTGGTGACAGATCAAGATCTGTTGGTAGAGTCCACTATTAGACTACAACAGCAAATTGATAGCAAAAAGCGAGCAGCATGTGATATCTGTAATATGTTCCATTTAAATATATCGGAGCGACAAATCCTGTTCGGTTTCTGCCGTTAGTCTGTCATCAAATTCCACCATTAGATTGTTATATTTCTGTTAACAAACTGCTAACAGAGTCTGCAAAATCTGCTTTTGCAGATTTGGTTATCTGATTCATAATATACTAGATATTTTTCCATGTTAACAAAGACTACTGATTCAATAATACATTACAGATTAGTTTAGTTAGTATTAGATGTAATTTTTGTTTTAGATTTTTTGTACAGACATCTAATGGACAAAAAAATTTGCATAATTTTACATCCTTTAGATAGTTTTCTATCATCCATAATAACGAATTGGATGTTTTAATAATATAAAAAAATATCAATATTTTCTACAATATAACAATGTTATCTGCTGAATACATACCAGTTACAGTAACGCTCCCTGTAGAAAATATCTTTAATGTAGCTTTTGGTTCTTTCAGCTTGTATGTAACTCCAGGATGTAATTCTGGCTCATATCTGTGTATAGAAAAATATGTTTATACAACAGTTGGGAAGTTTACACTAATAATTATATACATTAATAAATTTATATTAATTTATAGTATTATATATTACAGTTACTACTATTGTATTAATAATTATCTTAATACTTGTTAATAAATTGTTGATTAAATTTAATCTTGAATTATGTTTAATCTCTTTGTTGGATCAACAATGTTTGACTAACAAAATATAAGTTTCTTCACAATCACTAATGTGTTAATATGCATCATATAAAATATAAGTAAATTTAGTAATATTTATATAAGTAAATTTTATTGTTAAATTAAAAGAAACTTCATGTTAAGTAAATCATGTAGACCTCTTTGTCATGTGAAATGTCCTCTTTCTCAAAACAATTTAATTACCAATCAATAATGTTTTTGTACTTACTCTGCGTTTTCTTTATGATATACTGAAAATGATGTTATCTTGATAGCAAATGGCATACAACAAGTGCCAAGCACATTGACCACTCTGTAGTTATTGAATCTCACTTGAAATCCAAGTTTCTGAAGAGAACGGGCAAATCTGCGCGCTGCAATTTTTGCTTGAACTTCGCTGGTTGCACCAGTGCAAGTTACCTTACCAGATGACCAAATAGATGCTGTGGTATATGGTCTTCTTAACTTCATAGTTATCATCTAAAAATATTATATGCAAAGGGGAATTTATGTATGTGCATTATGTATATATTAAAAAGGCATACATATTACAAATTTTCAAGAACTTATATTCTTACAAGTAAAAAAAATAAGGTACCAAATAGTATAAAAATAAATAATAGTATAAAAATAAATATATTTAACTATCACAATAGTAACATGATATTTTAGATAGAACATAAAAAAAATTGTTTCAAAGTTAAAATTAAAATATTACAATTAGTAATGAACTCTGAATTTGCAAATTTGTATATAGCATAATTTAGATGCTGCGTGTAGGCATCTACTATATCATAAGTATTAGCAATTCAATTTCATATCCATATTCTACATATTACAATTAGTAATAAACTCTGAATGTGCAAATTTGTACATAGCATAATTTAGATGCTGCGTGTGTGCATCTACTATATCATAAGTATTAGCAATTCAATTTCATATCCATATTCTTCACATATTCAATTCAACTTCAGATTCATATATTTTGAAAAATCACATATTTAAAAAGTGGCAATAAGATACGTTTTCTTTTTAAGATAGAGGTTGATTTTTATTTCAAAATTTATCTATTCAATTAAATGTGATTAAATACCTGCAGTTTAATATAATGTTAGTAATTAAGTGATATAAAAGCAAATTCAACATTACTACTGCTTTTGATCACTGAATATTATTTAAAATTTTTGTAACTTGTTTCAAGTATTCCTTTGAATTACACACTTCTCTTTCTTTGAGACATTTACTTGTAACAAAACAATCTGTATAATTATTGCAAAATAATATATGTATATATAAAATTGACATACTCCATTTTCTCTTCTGTATTCAACGTTAGATCCTTTAAGAGCTATTTCGCGTAGGTTTAAATGACACCTGACGCTGAAGCTACAAACTACATTATTAATGACAATATCAAGCTCAGGAGATTCTTGCTCAACAGAATCCACATAAGGCTGAAGTTGGCCCTCAAACATGTCATCCTTTTCTTTTTTGCACTCAAACCCGTCATCCTTTTCCTCTTTACATTCAACAGCATTACCCAAATTATTAACACTTTCAACATGATTTAGTGATCGGTTGCTTAGAGGTTTCATGCCATTCTTTTGAATAGCAGTTGCCATAATATTATATACCTGAAACATATCAAAGTTGGACCTTGAGAATCTCCGTTTTGTATAATCTCAGTGATATTTGTTAACAATCTCCCGTGTGCTTTCATCGATACTTAAACGTTGAGGAAATTATCTGGATTGGTCTCAGGTCAGAACGTACTAATTAGCCTCAAACTGAATTATCAACAACCACGGCGATAATAGTAATTGTGCATGATACGGGTATTCCTTTGACGGTGGAAACCCAACGGTCGATCACAAACCGAAACGAGACGAGAGTTTCTTCGATTGCTTTAACGAATCGATAAGACCGCGAATGTATTAAAAATTGCGATGTTTGATGTTGTGGCTGAATAAACGCGCATCCATGTATCGTCAAACTATATTCTCGGCATGTACAAAGCCACGGGCGTCAAGGTATACAACACTCTTTGGTGCACGTTAACACGTGCCCGTTTGCGCGCGCACTGCGCGATAACTAACTGCAATGTAGTTTCTGAATTAGTAGCCGACGATTTCAAGAAATTTGAAGCGTCGGAATTGTGTTTGAACGCAGCGTGAACCGATAACGGTGTGAAGGAACGCGAGGAACGACGGCGACACGCCACGACGGTCAGAGACTACCGAGAATGTTCTGCGACGAGAACATTCTCAAGTTCGGACGGTTAGAAGCTAACGACAGAACGCTTGAGTACTCACGTGTGTTATGTCGCGCTTTCCAGGTCCTTCAGGATTAAAAATTACTTTTTTGTTGACAATTGCCTGAGGAAAGCAATGTTAATTCAGCAACCATCGCTACCGCTCACAACCATATTCGCTAGACTGACGAACACTGGCAATTTAAGCTGCCAGCCGATGGATCATGGACTTACCCATCGCGTCCTTAGATGACCGAGTGCAGTGGTAAAATCATCGATGCTACATAGAAATGGCTTTAAAGATTCACTAGCAATGACGTATATAACTAGACTAAGCATTTGACCAGCTTTAAGCTAGCGGCACACGGTGTTTGTTTTCGTGCTGGATTGCTTGCTAGATGAAAATACTGCGTTCTGATTGGTGCATTTCCATCCATCTTCGGAAATCCATCTTCGGATTGGAATACCAATCAGAACGCAGTATTTTCATTCAGCAAGCAATCCAGCACGAAAACAAGCACAGTGCGCCGCTGGCTTAAGACGAGGGCGTGAAGTCGGAAGTTGGCAGTGGTTGGCAGTTTACGACAGAGTGAGAACGTTGCACGGCATCAAACCTTTCTCACTCGATCCTACAAGGGTTGTCCCAATTGAAGTCTCAAGAGCACGTTGGTATCATATGGTAGTGGGATTCGTTTAAAAGGAAAATGCCAAAAATTCGAAAAGACAACGAGAACAGTCCGTCGGGTCGGATTTCAGCGACAGAGCAACGTACGTATATTCGCATCGAAACAGTGCGTGGTAAAAAAGTGGCCGAAATTTATGCCGCGTTAAAAGAAGCGTGTGGAAGGTTTACTGTGAATCGTAGCACAGTACAGAGGTGGCACACGCAGTTTCGTGAAGGTTGAACAAGTATCGAAGACGATCCATGCGCGGGGCGGCCGTCTACTGTAACAGTTGACAACACAAACGCTTCAATCGCATTGCAACGTTGCTCGACAAAGATTCGGAGAATCACAGTAAGAGAAATCGAGGCGGAGACAGGAATCTCGAAAACGAGCGTGCATCGTATTTTAACACAGGTGCTAGGCAAACGAAATGTGGCGGCGCGGTGGGTACCGCACTTCTTGTCAGCCGAACAAAAAGCAACACGAACAAAAAGAACGGCTCCGCCACCCAGCTTGTAGTCCTGATCTGAGTCCACCTGACTTCGATCTCTTTCCCAAGATGAAGGAACCCCTTCGGGGGGTGCGTTTTCCGACGCTGGAAGTGCTCCGAAGAGAAATGACCCGACAGATTCGGATGCTCAATAAGAACGGGACGCTGAACGGAATTCAAGCACTTCCGCGCCGCTGGCAAGCGTGCATTGATAAAGGAGGAGATTATATTGAAAGCCTGTAATCACTTGTATCTTCTTCAATAAATATTTTTTTAGTTAGAGCCAACTGTGCATTACTTTTGGGACAATCCTCGTATAAACCAAAGCTCGGCAAAGTTTACAACTTTCGACCGATTTTCGGAAGCTACGCCTTCTATCTCCTCTTACCACGCGGCGAATCCAGCAACTGACGGTCACGGCCAGGGCGTGCAAACTCTAAAGCGTCGTCTACAATGGCAGTAAGCAGTAAGAAGAAAGCGTGAACAGTAAGAAATGAACCAACCACAGTTGATTATTTTTGTCATAATCGACTGTGATTGGTTTATTTCTTACTACTTATGCTTACTTCTTACTGCCATTGTAGACGACGCTTGAGAGATAGTAATCGCTGTCGTTCAAGTTAGGATCGTCTACAATAGAGTCGTAAAGTCATAGAATACGGTCGTAGAGTCGTAGCAATGGTCGACTGAAAAGTTATTTTCGATCACAAAACGCTTATAAGCACAGTCGCTTGAATTGGTTCCAATCCAACGACTATTCCAATCAGCGACTATTGTATCGACTTGAGCTACAATAGACCAATCAGAGGAAAGATTTTATATATCATGCTATGGGAGCATTCAGTACTACAACCGCTCACTGAGCGTTAAATGAGCTCTTGCATCTGATTGGTATATATTTTAAAATCTAAAGGTATATACCAATCAGATGCAAGAGCTCACTTAGCGCTCAGTGAGCGGTTGTAGTACTGAATGCATCCTATGTAAACAACATGGGAAAATGATATCGGTGTGTGGACGGCACTTATTTATTCATTTTTGATAAAGTCACCTTCACAAATTTCATCAGTATCACAAGGATCAATGATAAAGAAATTATCAGCAAAATCGCCTATTTGCAATAAAAATTTTATTAATATTTCTGAAGGCAAGTGATTGATAAATTACTATTTTCCACAGAAAACTTAATCATTAATTACATTCTTAACACTTCTAAATAAATTTCAGATAGCGAGAATATTGATTCAGCAAATAAACATAACCTCAAAGTGCCTAAAACAGATATTAGAAAAAGAAAGAATATAAGTCTTGATGTGAGTTCTCTAATTATGGAATCATCACAGACTTTACTGCACAGACTGTTACTGCAGCCTGTTCAGCTTTGCCAGCATTGCTGAACAGTACAACTTCCACGCCAGATACAGAAGAAGAGAAAAATATGGTGACAGTCTTATTACATGGAATAAAACGTGTACCTATGCAACAAAGAATAAAATGTTTTGTCAAGCTGTTGGAAATATTAGAATCATTTCAGCATGAGTGAATAATTATATAGTCATTGCTGATAGAAAATATTAAAAATATAATTGTCCTATTATAGCATATATTATAGTGTAGTTGAATTCTATATGCAATATTGTCAGCAATCAGCAGAGAAAGTTATGTAAATGTTATAAAATTGATCTGATTGGTATATATTTTTAAATTCAATCAAGATTAAAAGCATACCATCAATCAGATTCACGTATTTTTACACAGTTGCAAAACTTTCTTCTCTATATTCTCTATGTAACAGTTGTACTGTTAAAAGAAGAAACTCAATATGAATATTAAAAGTAATACTTTTGTGGAACATACAGTTTAATCATGAAACAATAGTCTTGCTTTGTGGTATCAACAGATTTTCATAAGATATATCATCTTATATATCTCCTTTTTATATATCTTTTTATATATCTCCTTTTTCTAAAGAGAGGTCTGACAATATGGCACAAATAATCATATTAGACAGGTGTCATTCGTATCATACTAAAAAATTTTTCATGATTTGTCTCATATGTCTCTTTGAATTGTTTATTGAAATATCTTAAATAATCTCTGCTTTTATTTATAGGTCTTATCCACCATTTTCTTTGTCTTTTTCGTTTTAGATATAAATATATCGATATTAAATTCAAATGGTAAGCATTTAATAACAAAGAAATACTACAAATTGCACGGAATTCCATTATATTTCTATTTCAATAACACACATAAACACAATCGATCATTCGTATTATCGTACGGGCAATATCCTGCTCTCTGATTGGTTTACACTCCGATCCAGAGACTAATTGAACTTTGTACAAGCATCGCCATAGGACCCAGCTCACGACTTTACGACTTTACAACCCCATTGTAGACATAGCATTAGAGTGTAGAAATTTGACAGATAGTATACTTTAATGAGTGGTTCACTTTACATGCATACCGATTCAAATCGATTTTCTGAAATCGATTCTTTATGAACCGATTTTTTAAAGATAAGTTTTTTTTCTTCGTGATTCGAATCGATCTTTAAATCGATCTGTTTGAAAAAAAATCGGCATCCCTATCTCTGCCTGTATCATGGATTGACCTGTTAGGAGCCAAAGCCTCCGATAGATGGCGCCACCGCGGCTCCTTGCGCACGGTTTCCACCGCGACTCCCATCTATCGCAGTCTCTCTTGGACATCGACTGTAGGTGATAGTGGCACTACCGCGAGAGTGTACTACAAAATACTCTCGACACTCCGTATGCGACATTCACACTCGCATGCATACACACACACACACACACACAAACACAGCGCACATTTCATACGCATCGCACACTCAACGGCGCGATACCGTAGCAGTACCGTACGGCGGCTAGTCGCGTTTTCGAGTCGGTGGTTTTCGCAATTTTTCGATGATGCCCTGGTGATAACGATACTTCCTCACGACACTGCAACGAGTCGCCGCACGTCCAGATCGGTAAGTAGGCGATCGACGATGTATACGCGTCGTCCACGCCCAATGGCAGATCGGTATCGCGTGGAGAGGTCGACACAAAGTGACGACGACGACAGGCATAGACTCATCGGCGACGCGGCGAAGTGACGACGGCTTCTCGGCGATCAATGCGGCCACTCGACGGGTGTGCCTGCCGTTTCGTCGTCCTGCCTCTTCGTCGCTAGCGTAAATCGCGCGCTGACTCGCGTCTTCCCGGAGGGACGCGCGCGTCGTCGCCTTCGCCGTGACGAATTTCGCCTCGCCCCGCCTCCGCGCGCGCGCGAGCGAGCGAGTGAGCGACGGTTTCCCGGTGGGACTCCGCCGCTCGTGAGAAGCCGCGAAGGACAGGCGGCCGGTGAGGTCATCGCAAGTGAGACAACGTAATCGCCGAACGAGCACGTTCGACACGCGCGCGACGAAGGATCGAACTCTTCTATTGTCGTCTTCCTCGAGCGCGATTTGCGAGCCGCGAGTCGCCGGAGTCAGCGGGGGTCGCGGTAGCTCATCGCGCGAATTACACGGCCGTAAGCGTGATATTATAATACATCGTCGTATTAGGCCGCCTAGTTTCTTCGCTTCCGTCTACGTGACAGTGCACACGCCCATTTCTCGCGTCTCCATTAGCAACCACCTTGTCTTCGCTCCTGGACGCTCGGTTCCGGCGGATTTGAAAAATTCCTCATAATTGGGTCAACTTCGATTTCGGAAGCAGGGCCGAGCGGAGCTTTACGAGCGCACGCGCGCGTTACGTCTCAGCATGTGCGTGTTCTGTGTGTGCATATGCGTGTGTGTGTATGTGTGTGCAATTTTATGTTTACCGCAACGGCTGAGACGCGATATAGGGTGCACGACCGCCGAGCGATGCAAATTTAATTAAACCGAGAGGTAACGCCGCGCGAGATGAAAGCTTCTCTCCTCGCGTCCCGCGAGCCGTCGCACTGCGTATATTCACGTCGCGACGCGGAGAATTTGGGATTATTGGTTTTACGGGAATTGGCGGGATTTGCTAATTGGAGCGGGACGGTGGGGGGCTGTCGTCGCGTCGAAGCGAAGTGATTGCACGCGATTGGCGAGGTGTCCGCTTGCAGGTGATCTTTGTTCATTTTCATAACGGAGAATATTTTGCTTCCAGATTTTTCCAGATACAGAGCGAACATGAGGCTTGCCGTGTGCATTCTTTCTACACTGATACTTCAGGCGTCGGCTATAAGTAAGTATGAGAATGCCTCGTTTGTCCCTTTGTTCACTTTCGAATCTCTAATATGCGAAACGGTCTTTGTACTGTGCCATGAATTATATGATAGATCCAGCCATTAAACTTGTACCTTCTGATTTTCCAATTATAGTACATGTCCCGGATATTATAGAAGGTGAAGGAGACACTACTGAACTTGTTATTAGTAACTCTGCTTTGTGTCACAAGTAAAACTCGCAGTCTTACGCAAGATTTTCTTGAATATGTTCTGTTTCTGTCAAAGAGACACCATGTTTTTCCGTACAATCACATTTCTCCATGTACATATATGTATCCGATTATATATGTGTACTTTTGTATCTACCTGTATGTTTACACACGCATATTTGTGTACAAATGACACTTGGTCTCGCTAAAACATATATACGCAAAACTCTACAAAATTATTCCCGGGCAGCTTTTATTGCTTCATTAAGCGCGATTTGGAAAACGCTACAAACTGTAGGAACGTCTCTCCATTAGATCCACCACACTTTACTCTCATCAGTCAATTACCTATATGTGTACTTATACTTGTATCTTGAAGAACATTGACCTTTCTCCGACACATGTGCGATTTTATTTTCTTCATGTTACTTTAACGGCCAGTTAAATAATTCACAAGTTGGATTTTTGAAAGTTAGTTCGTGGTAGAATCATTAAAATTCGCTGTTTAGTCGAGACTCAAAATGTTCAGAAAGATCGTTCAGATAATCCATCACCCGAGCGGGTTCATCACACCGAGCAGTTTGTAAATACATGTCTCGCCGTTTTTCTCTCCTTTCACGCTATATCTATATGTCTTTTTTACTAGTCTGTTTTACTTCAACTTCGACCCGACGCTTGCGCAGTATCGCCGTAGATCTAACAGATTGCTTGTTTATTAGTTCAATCGCCGCCACGGATATCCAAACAGCCACCGACCGATGAGCAATTGTTCCAAGTGAGCCAAAAGAAGATCAACGAGAATGACAAGCCATTCCTGATCGAGTGCGAGGCGGAGGGCGAACCAGCTCCGAAGTATGTAATCTCTCTTCCCGCCTCTGCTTTATCTTCCACCTCGTGAAAACCAAACAGAAGTCGCCCGACCTTTTACTTCATCTCATTCTTTATCTCATTCATGTTCACTCTGCGTTTACGTCACTCTGTACAATGTGTAATTTCCCGATACCGTCGGACAATGTTCGCCCACCAAGCGAGCGGGGAAACAGTTATCACATGAATACGTTCTGATCCGTTGAAGAGCGGGAAACGTGCTTCGCGACATTTCATTCATAAAGTTTCCCTGCACTTGTATGCAGTCTCTTTCTCGTGCAGCCTAGAGACGCAGCTGTTCTTAATTAGAAGGATGACATCATAGCCTTAGAATGTATGAAATAATCATCGCTGCTGCAGATGCCTAACTTATGCGAATACTTGACGCTGCGGACGAGAGCAGTTTCTTATAAGTCGGATGAATTCGGCAGGCGAAACATTCGTCGAATGAATCGGAGAATTCAAATTGTCGGATTTTTCGACCGCAACGACTTTCTGTCTTTCTTTTTAGTTCTACGATATTTCCTGAATTGGCATTCCTTGACATTCCGCACGAAGCATAGGGAGACATTCGAGTTATTCAATTTTGAGTGACGACATTCATACAAAGTAAATTTCCTGCCCTAATCTAATCTTTCGCTCCGAGGAATTTAGAAATTGTCGAAACGTGTTTTATCATAGATTATCTAAGATTACGACAAAAATCGATTAGGACATTCGTTCTACGAATTAGGAATTCACTGTAGGTTTGAATTAAACATTCACTCTTGCGTTTCCGAGCGGCAAATACCCTTCACTGTCGCTGAATTCTCACTCGTTCTAAATGGGGTTCATTCGGAGAAATGCAGTGTCTCGAAGCATGTCTCGTTACGGCTAAGAATACAACTGCTAAGAATACGTCAGTACTCCGATCGGGACCCATATAAATGGAATGTCGCATTCAACAGGTACAGCTGGATTAAAAATGGCAAGATCTTCGAATGGCCGGCGTACGATGATCGCATCTCTCAGCAGCCCGGTAGAGGCACTCTAGTGATCGCGAGGCCGGAAGACGGCGACCTGGGACAGTACCAATGCTTCGCCGAGAACGAATGGGGTATCGCCACGTCGAACTCGGTGTTTGTGCGGAAGGCTGAATTGAATTCGTTCAAGGACGAGAATCCGATAACCTTAAACGCGAATGAAGGCTCTCCGTTCAAGCTCACCTGCCAACCGCCTGATGGCTGGCCTAAGCCGAACGTTTACTGGCTGATTCAAGATAATAGCGGTGGCATCAAGTCGATCAACAATTCGCGCATGACCTTGGACCCGGAGGGGAATCTGTGGTTCAGCAATGTGACGAGGAACGACGCTTCCGACGATTTCTACTATGCCTGTGCTGCCACTTCTGTGTTCAGAAACGAATATAAGTTAGGCAACAAGGTATTGTTGAACGTGATCTCGACAGGCTCCTCCGCCAGCCAGAACAAATACCCGCCCGAGAGGCAGTACGTCTCCAGGAAGAATGAGGTCGCCCTGCGCGGCAAGAAGGTCGAGCTGTTTTGCATATTTGGCGGCACGCCGTTGCCGCAGACCATCTGGAGCAAAGGCGGCGACCTGATCAATTCGAATGATCGAATCTCTCAAGGCAACTACGGCAAGTCGCTGGTCATCAAACATGTCACCTTCGAGGACCAGGGCACGTACACCTGCGAGGCGTCAAACGGAGTCGGCACGGCTCAGTCATACTCCATCAGCCTGCAGGTGATGGCGGTGCCTTACTTCACCGTCGAGCCAGAGATCGTGAACGCCGCAGAGGACGAGACCGCGGTGATCAGATGCGAGGCCAGCGGAGTGCCCGTTCCGGAGCTCAAGTGGATCCACAACGGCAAGCCGTTGAAGGCTGAATCGAACAGCAGGATGAAGCTTACGGCGAATTCCATCATCATCGAGAAGCTGGTCAAAAATGATACGGGTAATTACGGCTGTAACGCCACCAATTCGCTGGGATACGTCTACAAGGATGTGTACATAAACGTGTTGGCACTCGACCCGGAGATCACACAACCACCCACGGACTTGAACACGGTCGACGGGAAAACCATACAGATCACGTGTCGCGTCTTCGGAGCGCCCAAACCGGAGATCAAGTGGATCAAAAACGGCCAGGAGCTGACTGGTGGCCGTTATAAGACTCTGGAGACGGGAGACTTGCAGATCGAAGGTGTGACGTTTCTGGATGCTGGCACTTACACCTGCCATGCCTCCAACAAATTGGGCCAAGTGGACGCGTCCGCCAGTTTGGTGGTCAAGGAGCACACGAGAATCACCGACGAGCCGGAGGATTACGAAGTTGCCGCGGGATCTACCGCGACGTTCAGGTAACATGTTCTGAAGGAAGCTAAAGTGCGTTTCGCGGACGATGCAATTAGGTTTGCTATTTTTCAATCGCACACATTCGCTTCTGAATGTTAACGTGAAACTACCACGTTGACAGATCACTGCTTTGACACATTGCTTCCGCTTCTTTGGGCAATCGATAAATAAGAAATCAATAATGCGTGCAGTCAGAAAATCTTAGTAACCTAATTACACCGCGCGCTGAGGCTATTCTGCCGCATACTAGATTAGGTATTGGCGAGATTAAGGATTGGAGCTTGATTAATTGGGATCAGATGAGTCAACATCACAATTAGTCGACTCGTCGAGTTTTAATCTGTAATCCAATCCTCAATCCCCAATATTTGGTCTGGTAGAGACTTTATAGAAACACAGGAGATGGGTAGTTAAATAAATACGTTTGAGGGACTTCAGTGCCTTGGTTTTGTAAGAAGCTATAAGAGTTAGATCCACACACAAGAACCTTGCAGGGGCAGATAAAGAATTATAAAGTAAGAATAACAATGAGAATGAAACTGAGAAAGGAGAAAAATACAAGGAAACAAGAAAGAGGGAGATTTCTGTTTCCGTCTCGATTAACATTCCATTTTTACCGTCGCGCAGGTGTAATGCCGTCACGGACTCCAGCCTAACCCTGACTATAGATTGGTACAGCAACGGCCAGGAGATAGAATTCGAGATGGAGCCGAGGTTCGTGCGCAGCACCGATTACTCCTTGATGATCACGAAGACGATCGAACTGGACTCTGGTGTCTACACGTGCGTCGCGCGCACTGAGCTAGACGAGGCGAGGGCGCAAGCGACTCTTATCGTTCAGGATGTGCCTAATGCGCCAAGATTGATCGACGTCCGGTGCGGCTTTAAGACGGCGTCGGTTCAGTGGATGCCCATGGGAGACAACAGGTCTCCTATCTTGCGTTACACCATCCAACATAACACCAGTTTTACGCCCGACACTTGGGAGATATCCAAAGATAATGTGGCGGCCACCGTCCAAAACGATGACGTGGCTATGTCACCTTGGGCTAATTACACGTTCCGTGTTCTTGCGTGGAATAAAATAGGTGAGGTTTGTCGCTTTTAGATATCAGAGTCGGTCTGTCAGGGAAGAAGTTACGTTTCGCTTGATATTTCGTACATGAAATAGGAGATGTCAATTCCAAGGTTGCATCGATCGATGCAATCGGACGAAGGAAATTCTAACGATTAAGGGTGATTCTCATCAAATTCCAATTAAACTAATCGACGACCAGTTAGCCGAATTGCCAACAGCAATTTCTGGCTGTGCGTGACTTGTCGCTCAACAATAATGAAAAAGTGAATAATTCTGCGTATCTTTGCAGGATAAAGCGAATAGCGCTTGGCTCGATATCGATTTTAAATATAGGCTGTAAAATGAGAAACAAGAAAATGTTCTTACCGATATTAGCAGGATTCTGTTTATTTCCCACGTTGACAACTCGCCGGCTGAGTCCGATTGTCGATTAGTTTAATTTGACGGGAATCAGCGTAAAACGAGTCGTCACAAACCAATGATGCATTGCTGTTTCTCTTCTCGACAGGCACGTCCCTACCGTCACCGCACAGCGAGGTTTGCACCACCTCCCCGGATGTACCCTATAGAAACCCCGATAACGTGATAGGCAAGGGTACAACGCCCCAAAATTTGGTCATCAGTTGGACGACTATGTCGCAGATAGAGCACAACGCCCCCCGATTTATGTACAGAGTATATTACAAGAGAGACATACCGGGCGAAAGGTGGACTATACAAGATGTAAACGACTGGAGGAAGAACAATCTACAGGTGGACAATCAGCCTACTTATCAGAGATACAAGATCAAGGTCGGCGCGATCAACGAACGGGGGGAGAGTAAAGCCATGCCCGTTGAAGTCATCGGGTATTCCGGAGAAGACGGTAATCCTCGTTAATTAACTTGTAATTTCCCAACACATTGTGATTTGCTGACATAGTGTTGCAATAACTTTCGTCTCCGGCCTATTTTATTCTACTGAAAAGAGTGTCAGAATAGGACTGAAACGGACAATAAAAATCGATCAGTATCCTGACTCTAACGGATATATATTGTATTGATTGAATTTCGTTTCTGATTGCACTACAGTAGCTATGCATGGGTTCTCACATTGGCCTTTCTTTCTTCCATCGTGATTGCGGATGATTTCTTTTTTCGTTAATTCGACGCTTCGTTAGCGACTAGGAGAATATTAATGTTATAGGACTAATTAGGATATCATATTCGCTGTCCGAATATCATTGACTCTGCTCGTAAGTTGTCAAATCTCGATTTCAGTTCCCTTACAAGCGCCCGGTAACTTCACGTTAAACCAAGTGAAGTCGAGTACAACTGCCCTGCTGTCGTGGAGTCCGGTGTCGGAGGAGTCGGTGAGGGGCGAGCTGCAAGGGTACAAGATCCAAACATGGACGGAGAAGGAAGGTGAGAAAGGCATGCGCGAGATTGACATTCGCGGTGGAAACAAGACACACGCGGAGGTCAGCAAATTCATCCCGTACAGCAAGAATTTCGTGAGAATACTCGCTTACAACGGCAGGTAATGGAATTTCCCACATACATGCGCATCTCTATCGCTCATACTTCACAGCAGTTCTCGCAACCAGATCTGTAATGACAATCAACCAATTTACTCGGTGCACAGATACAATGGTCCCGCGTCTGAACTTTTAACCTTCGATACACCGGAGGGGGTGCCAGGAACGGTGCTCAGTTTAGAAGCGTTCCCGATGGGATCGAGCGCCCTGTTCCTGGTCTGGTCGCGGCCCGCGGAACCGAATGGTGTTTTGACCGGATATAGGATTTATTATCAAGTCGTGAACGGCACGAAGTTGGAAACCTTACTCGAGAGAAAGCCGCAGATTACAGACTCGGATGCCATAAACGCCAAGTTGGCCGCGTTAGCGCCCGATACGAAGTATCGCGTTCACATACGCGCGACAACCAAGATGGGTCAAGGCAACGAGTGAGTATTAATCACAGATACGAAGTCAGTGGACGCGTGTTGGTAGAATTTATAAAATGTTACCAGTGTAACCATCACGCGTTATTCTAACCCTTGCAATACTGCTGGCTTGGGCTATAATCGCGCAGGCTTCCGCTGGAGTTAACGTCGATTACTTACGGGATTGATTGATACGCTTGCAGTTATTTCATCGAACAAAAGACACGCACGTCTCAACGACCCGACGTACCGCAGTTCACGTGGGAGACTGTACCGGTAGAAAATGGCTACTCGAATGTGAGGATCATTTGGCTACCGAATCTCAACGGCAATCCAGGAAGTCATTTCTTCGTCAAGTATAATCTCAAGGGTGAAACGATAGCTTTGTTGACGGATCCCGAGTTCCAGTCCAACACCATTGAGGTATGCACGCAGTAGTAATAGCATCAACAATAACAATAATAGTAATAGTAGCGATAATATTGCATCATAGGAGAAATCAGTCGCTACCATACAGTGCCTTACTCGCTCGTTGAAAACTTGAAAAATAATAATAATAATAATAATAGTAGTAAAATAAATCCCACACACATGTTACAATTTTAGGTCTATTCATTTTCGAAGAACTTCTGAACTAGTGCAATAAGAGTAAAAGAAAGAGAGAGTATACTTGTTTTGCTTGTAACCTATTGCAGTTTAATTTAGAAGTTTTTCGAAAACGGATGGATTTTTTATCCTCCTGTCAAGATTTAAATTATCTCCTAACATTCAGTAATGATTATAACTTTCCGTTTCTATTGACTATTTGCCACACCAAAGCTTTCGATATCTTTCTTTGAAAGATTTTGGGTATTTTTCAACAAAAACCTGATTTGTAACCTTCATTTGTACAGGTTTGCGGTCTCCAGAGCGGTGAAGTCTATGTGATGTCGGTCGTTGCTGTGGACGGCGATTACTTGACTGAAAGTGCCCCTCAAGAGGTCGAGACTAGTAGCGAAGGACCCATCATACAACCGAAAGAAAATGTCGCAACAGCCGGATGGTTCATAGGTAACGATACAATAGGACTCTCCTCTTCGTGAAGTGTTTTTGCATCGTGTTTCGACAACGTACATGACGAAATATTGATGTTCTCGCAGGAATGATGCTGGCGATTGCCATCCTCCTTTTGGTGCTGATAGTCGTTTGCGTAATCAAACGGAACAGAGGTGGTAAATACGCGGTGCACGAGCGCGAGTTGGCTGCAGGACGCGGCGATTACCCCGACGAGGGTGGATTTCACGAGTACTCGCAACCGTTAGACACCAAATCGGCCGGCGGACGTGCGTCTTTGGCATCGTCTTCTCATCAGGACGGTAAACATCCTGAATCCGATACCGACTCTATGGCAGAGTACGGCGAAGGTGACACAGGTTGGTAACGCGCAGAATTTTTACATGACGTAGCAGGATTATAGAGATTTAATATCTCTGTTTAATACTTCTGCACGAGTTTCGATCGTCTGATATTATGAAAATTGATTGCATTTCTGTGTGCGTTATTATGAGGTAATTAAGATGGTTCTTAGAGTATATGCCACAGAAACAATATTACTGCAGTACAGGCAAATGCACACTGAATCTTCTCACACAGACACTTAGACAAAAATAAGCATGAAATGGCGAATTTCCTGTTTCATGTTCAACCACGCAGCAGTTATTGCCACGTTTATTGAAATGTTTCTCGTACGAGTCTGTGCGAGTGCTTCTTCTGTTTCTTTCCTTTTCACATGACGCACTTGCAGCTGCAGTTAAGCATAAGTAATTGCGCTAGTTACGTGCTGATTTAAGTGACCTTTAAAACTTTACGTTTTACCTTACGTTCGATATGTTGTATATTATGTTATTTATTTTATTTGCTTTGTCGCTTGACACGATACAGAAGGCATGAACGAAGACGGTTCTTTCATTGGTCAGTATGGCCGACATCGTAAGCCGGAACCAAATTCACAAGCGTTTACCACTTTAGTCTAAGGTAAGTTCCATGAGAACACGCACATAAATTGTTACACCCACGCCCATTGAAGCAGAATTAAACATCGACCTTCGCACAAAAATAAGATTATTTCTTACATATGTGTCACAAAGTTGTATGCTAATCGCTTTATTTCACTGTCTCTACATATTATTTGCGATATTAATGTAACGTGACACCCAGATTTTCATGTTCCAACTCCTGATTGTGTGGAGAGCCTGTCGTTGAGGCGAGAACCGCGCACAGCAACTCAGCACGACCGTTTTATTTCAGGACGCTTCACGGAAGACGGTTCTTTCATCGGACAATACGGACCTAAAGGTAGACCAGAGGAAACGCCACCCATTCCAACTGGTACTATGGCCACGTACGTGTAACCTCTGCAACTATCTTAATCAAGCCGCATAAAGAAAGACAAAAGAACGAAAGAAAAACGTTTTCTCTTTACGGTCGAGGATTCCAGTCCTCGGCTATTGCAGCAGCTCTGCTATGCACCTTGCGCTGGGCGCAATGTCCAACACTATACTGCCAATTAGACTTCGGTTTTGGGTTTTATAATTTTCATAGAAATCGCGATTATCTTATCGCACTTACCTTGTCAGGATGCGAGATGCTTCCTGACGTGATGTCTAGATGACGACTTTTCATTTGCATTTTCAAGATGTCGCAAACATTCCAAATTTTTTTTTCTCTCTTTTTATGTAACCGGTTTCCCTCTGTGAAACGCGTAAATGAGGAGGAGCTCATTACGTGGGGAATCAGCTTGCGTTACGATGATTGCAGTTGTCCGATTCGGCAATTGATGACGAGTGCTTATATGCATCACAAGTATATCTCTATTTGAATTATAAAACCCAAGAACTATAGGTGTTTCATAGCGTGCAAGCTATTTATGGAAAAATAGTACCGTAGAAACTATTCTAGCATTGACCGTAATATTTGAAGAACAGAGCCAGGTTGAGTTAGACACTTCGATCAGTGGTAAGGTATACGCGTTGCAGTCGTGTTATTTGAACTCGCGCGCAATTGTGAAATACTTTTAAGACTGCGTGTGGTACCGACGTTTTACGACATACCGACTGGAAACTCCTTCATCATTTATCTACGTAAATATCCGTTTTTATCGTTTATCGTTAATCCTTCGCACTCCAAGTGTCGACCTGGCTGGTATAGAGCGATTTTGGCATTCTACTGCACGTATGCCGACTCAGTAGCAAGCGAAATGTTGCCGAGTTGGCGAAATGCCAAGCGGTAACAATCAAATTATGCGCTAAACTCGAAGAAATTTATTATTATTATATTTATTATTATTATAACTGACTGTTGATAAACGCATTCTTTCCACTCGCAGTTCGGCAATAAACTGTTTACGAGTAAACTCTGTCGACGTCGCGCGCAAAAATCGACGGAGCGCGAAGGGTTAAGGGACTGCTGGGTGAATATGCGAATTTTATAACGAATATATGGAAATTATCTGATGAAATTCTAAGCAAAAGGACGCACGATAAATAGTGATATAGAATGATTGACACGTTAGTTACATGCAATCTTAAACAAAAAAGGAAAAAGAAAAAAAAACGGGAGATATGTGGCAGAAGCAATGTAAAAGATAGTGTCGCAATCTGGCTTCGACTGAATTTAACTTTAATCTTCTAATGGACGGTTATTCTAAGGACGTTTAGCCGCGCAATCAATTTTTACTCTGCCGTGAAAGGGCCAAATCTAAACGAACGAATAATTATCTACGATTATCACGCACTTACACCTTCATTATTAACAAACATACACGTACATGTATGTGCGCGCGTGTACGCACGAATAGGGATATTCGAATGATAATATAACGAATGGAGTAATATTAAAAAAAGACGATTGTATATGCACCATGATAAGTAACAAAGATCACAAGGCCTCTATAAGTAATTGTTGCTTTTGTATGTAAAACATATGCTTTGATGAGAACCTTTTTATTTTTATGAGAATTTACTTTGCTTTCGGTAATTTTATTATAATCCAGTAATTATAAGATATGATGCTATATATAATTATTTATAATATATGAAGAAAAAAAAATATATATATAGAGAAAGAAAGAGAGAGAGAGAAAGTGAGAGAGAGAGAGAGAGAGAAGAAGAAGAAGAGAGAAACATTATATATATATATATATATATTAATTATGAATTGATTATTCTTAAAAGAACGCGACGTTTACATCAGAAGGCAGTTATAGTTAATGATTATTACGTCCCGATACGTGGGACGTTAAAGAAACATTAGAGATCTGTTAATTCTTTTCGAAGCTATGTGTACAATTTGTTTAGACCATTAAGTTTAGCGTTAGTCGACGCAGTGTACAGGTTGTCTGCAAAAGTGTCGCAAGCAAATATGTCAGGTACAAAGATAAAGAGAAACAAAGATAGGTACAAAGTGTATAATATTTATGATATGGATATGCGCGAAGAGAATCACGAGTATAGTACCTTTAAACGATATAATATCTCACTCTACCAGACGAACAGGACCAGGTTGAGCCTTTTCTTTTTTTCTTTTAACAACGGACTCTTGTAAAACGAATATTCTAGACTGGATGCAGATCTTTCTCGTAATGCGATTGAAATATATTTGTTAGGGTCTTTTTTGCCGAGCATCCTGTACAAGTGACTTGGACGTCACAAGATCATTAAGACGGCTCACGAGTAACTTTTGCATACGATTGCTAATTTAGGAAATTAACAAGTATTGCGCTAATAAATATGTGGCGATTGTATTTTTAAGTTGGGAAGAGGAATTAATAGCCGCAAGTCCTCGTCGATATTGCGCGCACATATACACCCATATTTTACGCGCACACAACACACACACATACACATATATACACGACACGATAAACATGACGACATAAATCAGGTTAAATAATTAAATTATTGCAACTAATGCCAACTTTACAATATCACACACAAGTTTCAGTATTATATTGTATCGGTTTAAGTTATATTACAGAGTAGGATCCCAATGGTTCGAAGATTACACGCATGTTCGTGATATTTAATTAAGAAATCATTGGAATATTTCGACAAGTCACTGTCTGCGTTTTAAGACAGCTTAATTAATCCAATAACGATAGTCACATTTCGTACACGTTGCGGTTTAATTATTTAATCTGCTGAACAGAAACATGCGTAGAGTACCACAATGTTCGTCATTCGTTGCTATTGAAAATACGTGTTTCAATCAATCAATCAATTGTGACAATATTGATTTGGCGTTATTAAGGGAAAAAGAGACGAGCGAGTATGCCAGGCACTCGTTCGGGAACGACTTAATTGAGCCTACTTAAAGTTCTTGATTCACCACAATCATTGATTCTCCTTTTTAATTTTGTATTTGCTACTGTTCACATTGTGTGTGCGACGACGATTGAACGTTTTTACATTACGATTATCATTATTATTATTATTATTATTATTATTATATATGTCTGTTGCATGGATATTAACATTAAGAACTTGCGTTAATTAATCAGACAGAACGGGGTGAACCTTGCAGGCGGTTGCGACAACGCAAAATCAAGACAAAACCACATGTCTCGATATTGATCCGTCGATTTTGATTTCGAAAAAATTGTTATTTTTTTTATACTTGATTTACCGAACTTTAGATTTGATATACACCTGATATCTGTGCGTGTCAAACGTGACAATGTGCGATGTTAATAATGCGAAACTACAGAAGGACGATGATACATCGGTTGGATGCAAAAGGGTTTGTTGTTCTCGCTCGATTCAAGGAGATCATGAATCTCAAAAGTGTGTACTTTCTATTTCGATACAACAGTCCCTTCGCGCCAATCTAAGCATCCAATGCACGCGATTGGTTGCATCCAATGATGCAACCAATCGCGCAACTATGCAACCTTAGATCTGGTTATTGGAACGTCGCGATTACTAGTTCCCATGTATGATATGTAACATTGCCTTTTTATTTACTAACAATAATATTTGGTTACATGATCGTTTGGCAATAACCATGACGAAGTTGATGAAAGCGGACACACGTGTCTCGTCGATGGGGATCTCGATGTCCAAGTCACAACACACGTACACTCACACTCATACATGACACAACACACACACACAAAACACGAGCGCGTTTTATATTTTAGAATATCGTTTGTATTAGTAGTAACTAGCTTCAGTATTTGCCGACTGTAGCGAAGATTGTTCACCTTTGCACGTTATGCAAGTCATCAGTTGAACTACGTTGAGATCTTAATGTTATACATATTATATATATATATATATAAAACTTCCAATAATTTTTCGCGCGAACTAGCCGTCTCGCGTGCTCTCGTACGCTAATATGTCCTTTTGTATTTCTTTTTCTTTTTATAGTTTTGTACTTTATGTATAGTGAAATTCTTTGCGTTTTTACGACCGTATCTGTGACAGAATGTATTCTACGGCAGCCGTCGATCCTTCGACTGAGTTCTCGAACTATTTCCGTTCACCTCCTCCTCGTTGGAGGGCGAGACTAAACATCTCTCATCGTTACTCTCTGCTTGATATTATAGCGTTCCGTTAGCGAAGACGAAAGCGTAATTCGTGACTTATTATTACCAAAAAAGAAAGCTGAGAAAAAAAAGAAAAATATCCACCGTACAACAAGCGCACATGTCAGCCCCGGAGAAGAGAAGCGCAATCTTGACTTTTTTTATAGCAAGGTTTTAGAATCTCTCTGTTGTTTCTTAATGTACGAAATGTGTTCATTCGATTATAGTTTAATCGACCTGTCGATCGTAGCGCCTTATTCTATTGTTAAGTGATAAGGTAGCGTCGTACAATATCGATGCACCTCCTCTCGCATTGTCAAATTGTCGGTCCTTTCGGCACGATCGTCGTCGGTGCACGTTGATAATCGCCGAGAGCGGACTGCAGTTGACAACTCGATCGTAACGTTGCGTATGCGTTTCTTATCAACGACTTCGACTCGAGTTAGATTACCGGCGTTTGTTTGCCCGTCGCCGTGGGCAATATGATATTGCGTGCTCGATACGATTCAGGCGTTTGATATACGCCGTTGCGATCGCAATACGATATTTGTTCAGGGCGCTCATATAGCGAGTGTTGTCTCACCCTTTTTCGCCGCTCGCCAATGACCAGAACTTTTTGTACGAATCATACGACGATTTTACTTGTCGCGCGAAGATGTCCTCGTTCCCGGCTATCGGATGACGCCACGCGACGAGTACTCGCCGTGCCGAAAGGTCCGTCGATCGCCACTTAGAAATGAAAAATGAAAAAGAAAAAAAAATAGAAAACAAAACCGCGATTGTCATCACCGGAGTTGCTATAAAAAGGGTCGACACCGGGGCAGGATGAATTCCGATATCGAAATTCGCTCAGCGTGTGCTCGCTTATTCTGCGAATTCTTCGGTATATACACACACACATATATATATATATAAACATACATATATATACACACATACATATATTATATTATTACCTCAATGATACTACAACGATGTAACGATGCGTTTTTCACCGTTATATTACACGCGGGGATGTAGAGAGGTATTCCGCATATATTCGTACATTCTCGCATCGGCATCAACACGAAACGCTTTAAGTAACTTTTCTACGAAGGGAGGAACCGCAGAGAGAGTCTAGAAATAGTATGTGCAGGACGCTCCGTCCGTCCACTCGTGCACGTGTTTCCGTTACGATCATCAGCGCGAGCATCGGCGATCAATCGCTCGTTATCGCGAGAGATAGCAAGAAAGGAGGGAAGGAAAAAATTGAGAGGCACGAACTGGCCTAAAAGCCGCCGCCGCGAACGTTTCCGTCGGCGTGCACGAGCGGGCTTATCGATCGGACGGACCACCCTGTCCCTGAGATCGTCTCATTTTCTCGCAAAGCAGCAAGTACTATCGGGATCGGATCACTGCGTTGTACGATAATTCGAGCGATACGTCTTAATTCTTAAGTTACTCTCATTCACACGAGCGATCGCGCATCGATATGCGCGTCGTTGTCCGACGTTTGTCCGCATAACTCCCATGTCAATAAAGTAAGGAAAATGGAAGAAAAGGGAAATAAACGAGAGAAAGGAAATCCACGGGAGGAAATCGCACTCGAGAATCTCCTCCACTCTCATCTCGCGAGTGTCTCTACGTTTAACATTGTCCGCTGACCGGACAGAAATCGAACAAGATGTGACCGATAACGCGATTATGCCAGACGGGTTTTTTGCGTCCCCGCGCTCTTGCTCCTTCTGTGCGAGAGCTGCTCGGCTTCGTTCTTTCGCTCCGTCGTCGCGGCCGAATAAAGGAAGAGGCCGACGGGCGGACGGACGGACGGACGGATGGATGGATGGATGGACTGACTGACTGACTGAGTTTGTCGCAGAATTATAACCGTGACCTGCGAGTGCCGCGAGAACGTGCGTATCGGACGCTAACTCTGCTGATGATGTTTCGCCTCGAGTTTCGATATCAATATGCGAGAGTCGTGCAAAATATCTAAATCGCGCGGTAACTTGAGAAATCGCACAGCATAAAGTCCGAGAGAAGAAGGATATTCCATATTTGGTTGATAGAGATTGCAATTTGATAAATACAAAATTGGATCCGAAATTTAATAACAATAACTATATATTATATATTTGATATAGCTATATAATTATAAATTAACTGCAATATACGATTAATTATAAAATAATATAAAATAATTTTTAATTATATTAATTATCGCGTAATTAATTATATTATAATTAATTTATAATTATATACTATACAATGTCTCGCCTAGAGTTTCGATATCGTGTGGAAATCAAAATACTTGAATCGCGCGGTAACTTGAAAAATCGCACATTGTGACGTCCGACAGAGGAAGGATGTTCCACTTGATTTATAGAGATTGTGCAATTTGATAAATGCAAAACTGAATCCGAAATTTAATAATAATAATTATATATTTTATACAGGTATATAATTATAAATTAATTGTAACGTGATTAATTATAAAATAATTTTTAATTATATTAATCGTGGTATAATTAATTATATAATAATTAATTTATAATTATATACCGTACAATAATTATCATATCGTGGATAAAAAAATACATTTTATAAATTTGTTTTTACAGATCGCGCGCTCTTGATTTTCGTTTACAATGTATCGCACGATTAACAAAGATCCGCAGTTGATAAAAGAAAAAAAAATTTTACAATATTACAATATTAAATACAATCAGTCTCTCCGGCAATAAAACGCATCATCGGCCGCGATCTACGCGTGTTATACGCGATGCACGAGGCGGGCGAGCAACGAGCCGTAGACAGAGCATCTGCGAGCAGCTAGACAGCGCTGGTTTATTCCTGATCGAATGTTTTTGCACGGCCTCCGCGATCCTAATTGAATTCATTCGCTCTGGCTACTCTGGCGAAGTTGCTGAGAGCGCGAGAGCGATACGTAAGATCACGCAGTGTTGTAGAGCGACTTTTGTCGCTCTCCGCGTCCTGCAAAAAAATGTTTTCGGCAAGATGTTTCGGAAGATGACAGCAACACAAAATTTCGCTCGCTCTCTCTCTCTCTCTCTCTCTCCGTGAGACAAGTGAGAGTAAAATCTCGGCAACGAAGATACCGATATATGGCGCACATAACTCGTCGAATATTTCTCAGATTGCGTGACGCGATCGCGGAATATATTCTCGGAGTGAAACGTCCGGCATGTCGGGGAAGACGAAGAAAGATAAAGCGGAAAAATGGCGAAAGCCGCACCGAGCTCGGCCGCGCGAGGTAACAATGAGTCACTTGTTAGATGAGCCATTCCTTCACCGTTCGGGATACAACGGATACTATTATATCGGCTATTCATCGAACGTCTCCCTAAGCGAGCGATAGTTCGATCAATCGCTCTCTGCAAATAGATCCGATTCAGCTATTTGTTATGTTCGCATCGATAGACGCGTATTGAGCGCGGCTGCGTCGGCGACGGGAGACTTTAAATTAACGCGACATCTTTTATGCCCCCCCGTGAGCCTTTTAAAAAAAAGACCTCCATCGCTCTCGAGAATAACGAGCTCAATAGAAGCAAACCGAAAGCTACTTTGTGCGGCAAGAGCGCATTTCGCAACCGGGATGGCGTTTACGATGAATTAAGCAGTCGCGACGAGCCGAGCGAAATAACGACACGAGAGGCGGCGATTTTGCGATGTGGAAGCAAAATTCAATTTTCGGCGAGGCGCAAAAAGCAGCAGAAAGGGAAAATGCGGCCGACCAGACGATTGGAAAGAAAGAGCGAGAGAGAACGGCAGAGAGAGAGAGAAAGAGGACAAAGAAGCGACGACCGAACGATAGACGTCAAAGAACTGGTTCCTTCCATCAAGATTTCGCCTCAGCTTCTTCGCTAATTCGCTAATTCTGACGTTTATCCGTCCGCGGAAACGGCTTTTTTGGTCCTCTCGGACAAAACGGTCATCTCGGATTTTCTCTCCGCTGAAACTTTTCTGTACATCTCGCAACTAGATCGTGCGTTAGGAACTTATGGCAAATCAATCATTGAATCGGGCGCCGTGAATAAATGCGAAGTAGCACAAATCGGGAGAGCCTGAGAAATTGTCGCGCACTTCCATTTTCTTCCGCATCAACTGCTAATAGGGAGTTTTTGCAATACCGTCTCTCAGATACGGTAAACGTTGATCGTGAATGCTATTGGTCGCGTACATTGCGACGTTATTTCTGAGCGAATAACGTTCACGATTTACGTTTACCGTATCTGAGAGACGATATTGCAAAAACTCCCTATTCACAATCAATGTTTATCGTGTCTGAGAAACGATATTACATAAACTCTCTAATCTAACGTCTGAAACGTTAACGTTAGAGATTTCACTGCGAAGTAAAACAAACTGCAGAGTGTTTATCTCCGCGATTATTGAACGACCGCTTTCCGATGTGGCGCGTCGACGTGATATTTTGTTTACTTTCGGCCTTTTGTGTTGGCGTTCCAAACACGCGTCTATAACGCGTCAAACGCGTTCAAATTAAATGCGAAGTAAAATAAATTTGGTGCGGCTTATCTTCGCGATATCAAATGATTGATCTTCAATTCGCAGAGGTCAATTTGCGAAGTTTCTTTCTCATTTCCGGCTTCTTGCATCGTCATTTCGAACACGTGTTGATCTATCAACGTCTAACGACCGAACAAGCGGAATGAAATTAGTTTATTTCCGCGATATCGAACAGTCGATGTGAGGGACCAACTTAAGAGAGAAATTTTTTCTTTGTATCAATTTTTCAAACGCATGTGGATGATTAATTTAAGGCCTAACGTCAAAGAGAACGTTCCAATAAAATTGGAGGCAGTTCATTTCCGCAATATCGAATACCTAGGCAGAAGAGAAAATCATAACATCAAAATGACGTTAAAATGATGAAAGGAAAACTTATTTTTTTCATCATAATTCGGTCATTTTCTCGTCATTTTGATGTCATCATGATTGTCTGTTCTGCCTGGGTAGCCATCACAGACACAACTGATCGACACGAGGCATATTTCGTTCCTTCGCATCAACATTTCCAACGATTGGACGATTTAGACGTTGACCAGCGATCTAACGCGCTAGACGCGTCAACGTCCAAAAAAATCGACCTTTTCTAATAAATTTACGCGTCTCTCTGACTGAACCCGCACCTTTCAGCCGGCTCTTCCTTCACACTCCGCTTCGCTACCTCTCCGCGGTTCTTCACGCGCGCGATACCTCGCAGCGCGGCGGGCCGCGGGATCTCCGCGATTGTGCGGGCGCGCATTGTGTACATAGCCTTATCCCATAGAGCGGCGAGCCGCACGGGACTCCGAAGCGCGTCTGCAAGATGTCTATCTCGCTCTCGGAGAGGTCTCGCGCTGCTCGCAGCGGGCCGCCGCCGCCGCCGCCGGCCGCGGGCCTGTTCCTCTCATTGAGAGTCAGTCAGTCAGTCAGTCAGTCAGTCCGCCGGAGCGACGCGGCTCGCGCGCATCGTATGTGTCGTGGTCGCGAGGGAACCCTCCGTGCCTGCACGGCGCATCCTCCGTTTTTACCGCATGCGTTGAAATCACCGACCTCCTCCGACGCGTTATCGCGTTCTTCATTCAACCCGCGCGTCGAGCCGCGCTGCTGCGAAATCCTTGATTTCGAATCGCGTCGGATCGTAGTAGGGGTCACACATCGCACACACGGGCGCGACGACCACATACACGCACGCACGCACACGCACATACTCGCGAGGCCGAGATCGGGCCATACGACGCGTACGCACTCACGCACTCACTCACTCACGCACGCACGCACGCACGCACGCACGCACGCACGCACGCACGCACGCACGCACACACGCACGCACGCACGCACGCACGCACGCACGCACGCACGCACGCACGCACATCGGAAGGACCGGATCGTCATCGTCGTTGTGTCGTGCGTTACGCGCGCGTTCGGCCGCAAGAAAGAAGGACTTCTTCTTCTTGTTCGCGGAGCGTGCAACACCTGGCAGCAGCGGCCTCGGCGGGCACGGCGATGGCACTGAGCGGCGACACGTCGCGGCCAATTACGCGCTCGGCCGCGGTCGCCCTGGCCGCGGCGGCGGTGTTGGTCCTGCTCGCGGATCGTCCGGCGGTTGCCCGGCATCAGCACCGCTCCGGTAATGGTCAAAAGTTGTCCGGTGACATTTCCCTTTGGATCGATCAGCAGCAGATCAAGATGTTCAGCGGTAAGTCCCCCGTGCACGACGATGCGATTGAATTCTCTTCCTTTTTTCATGTCGACGAGGACCAGCGAGAGCGGGGAAGCGCTGGTCGAGGGCTGAAAATGTAGTGAACTCGTGAGACAGACGTCAGAGGAAAATGTACATCTTCAATGTATCAAAATGCAGCCGATTGTCCAGACGAACGGTCGAATGATCCTTCTGATCACGAATGCAGGTCTGGCGATGGAGATCTACGCCATCACGGAGGGCAGAGTGCTGTCTTACCTCCTGGACCCGGAATTCGAGACTAAAGTGCCAATCATCCCGAGCGAGGTGTCATACGTGAACTTCACGTGGAAGTCCGGGATAAAGAAGTACCATTACAACTTTTATCGACTGAAGTCGTTCGACGAGACCATCTTGAAGACTCCATCCATCACGATCAAGACGCAAGGACGGGTGCCTAAGAGACCGAAAGGTAAAGGATGTAGAAGGCATGTAGATTGTAGCTCATTGAAAAATTCATCGCAACTGCAGAATGTAACAACCATCAGAATTCGCGGACACTTGATGAAATTTGATTCTACCGTTCTATGCTAAGTGAATGTATGCGTATACATATATGCGAGAGAGAGAGAGAAAGAGGGGGGGGGGGAAACCAAAGAACATACGCGAAGCGTTTTTTCGTTGCAGAGTTCAGCGTTCTGCTGCCTTGCACCGGTAACAGTTCCGGCATAGCGCAATTCGGGATCGGCCTGATGATCGAGACACGCAAGGGAAAGCCTTTAAACGGGACGCCCCTTCTTCTCAGCCTTAGGAAAGAATGCACCGTGCGCGGTGAGTGCGTCTCTGTCCGCGACCGCGATTCCTCCCTCAATCGCGCGTACAGCTCGCCGGTTAAATTCATCGCCTAATTTTCTTCTGCATGTTCTCCATCCGCAGGGAGGAGGGAGGGAGGGAGAGAAAGAGAGAGAAAGAGAGAGAGAGAGAGAGAGAGAGAGAGAGAGAGAGAGAGAGAGAGAGAGAGAGAGAGAGAGAGAGAGAGAGAGAGAGAGAGAGAGAGAGAGAGAGAGAGAGAGAGAGAGAGAGAGAGAGAGAGAGAAGACAGTCTCGGAATCTCAGCCTTGGTGCACGCACACAAGTTAACGCATCGTTTTGCTCGAGAGAGAGAGAGAGAGAGAGAGAGAGAGAGAGAGAGAGAGAGAGAGAGAGAGAGAGAGAGAGAGAGAGAGAGAGAGAGAGAGAGAGAGAGAGAGAGAGAGAGAGAGAGAGAGAGAGAGAGAGAGAGAGAGAGAGAGAGAGAGAGAGAGAGAGAGAGAGAGAGAGAGAGAGAGAACGCAGCGTGCTCGCGAAATCCGGTTCGCACATGGCTCACGTTCCGACTGCCTCTTCTTTTTCTCTTAATCGACAGCGTAGCGTGCGTACACGTACCTGGCGCACGCGAGTGCGCGCCGCCGGCTCTCGATACCGCTGCGTGTCGAGGATTATCTGTCGGTCGTGGCCGGCGCGAAGAATCGCGCCGTCACGGCGTCAAATCTCCACGCTTCCGTGGGAATCCGCGTGTCGGCCGGATTTATGGACGCGAAGCTGCCGGGGGAGGCTCTGCCCAGCGACCACTTTCGGACTATTGTCAAACATGGGATTGTCCGTGTCCACAAGAGTTATGAGTATTAAGTTGGGCATTGTGCGATGACAGGTCGACTGCGGTCCCCGCCCCCACTGTCGGATCTCCTCGCGGTGATCCTATTGGAAGGTTCAGTCTGTTTAGGTAAAATCCGCTTGAAATTGCCGTGAGCCCGCGCTTAGATTTTTCTTCACGACTTTAGATCAGGTCAATTCTCCTGAGATTCTTCGATCTCCGATCGCTCGTGATTTGTTGATGCCTCGACAATCGCTGCAAATCACGAGTCACTTTGAGGGGGCGACTCGATGACAACCTGAGGAAATGATGAATCGACGAGTTACCGAAGACTGTAACGAAGCGCATTGCGCTCCTGCGTCTGTTCGGACGCGGCTCTAATGAGCCGCATTTCGAGATCATATTTGCGCACCTGTTCGGGCCCGCTCGCTAGGGAGAGACTTGGGCCGCCTTTGTGAGGCCCATCTTTGGTACGGTGAAACATACTCTTCTTCTCTCTCAGGAGTTCAAATTTGGATTAGTATTGTTTTCGAAAGACACCTGTCGTGTTAATTAAGTTGTTGAGAAGGTTGAATTAAACAATTAACTTACTTATTCAATCTGTCAACGGGTACAATATTTCTTTGAAGAGGAAAATACAAATATATAAAACAAAGTTAAATTAACAAAACACAATGACCAGAAATAATGTGCAACGCAGCTTCGTTGATGTTACTTTCTCGCGATACATTTCATAATCTGCGAACGATCGAACGTTATTTTCGTTAGAGAATCAAAGTAGTCATCTTATCAATCTTCGTTGAACACGAAGTCCTTTTTGTTTCGTTCTTTATCGTCGCTCGCAGCGTTACCCGGCTTTCCATTTCTTTCTCGAGTTATTGCTCGTCGGCGAATTATCAGTTAAGGGCCTAATTGCCTACTTAATTTGGGGCAAACGCACAAACTCGCTGCCTCCTTCGCATTATCCTCGGTCCTCTCAATCCCTGTGCATTCAAATCGCCAATCGTCAAGTCGGATCGAATGTCGACGTGAGTTTGGTCGAAGAATTCGCGTCATCCGTTTTAAGTATCCAGCGTAGGCGTTTTTACGACCCGACCCGACGAAGAGTCGCGCATTTGAAAACAATTAGTCGTGTTCGCTGCGCAAATCCACGGGAAAGAAGCAGCGAGCGGTTATCGATCGACGCAACGCGTGATTATTTTTAGCTGTCCGAATCCAGAAGCGAACGCGGTGGAAAATACGACGCCTCGACGCTTCATAATCGCTCTCGCGATTACTCGTTAAACGGCGCGTCTCGATCTACGTAAACACGAAATCGTCGTTTCTCGCGTGCCGAAATAAACAGAACCGATTTAAGGGGGAATTACATGCGAACCAAGCTGTTTTCAAGACTATTTTTACGAATTTTTTTTAACAGAAACGGTAAGATCAATGGACTTGAAATTTTTACAATGTATTCATTAATGTTTAAAGTATAAAATAAATTTGTTGCTATCTATGGAAAATACACAAAACTTTAAACGCGTTTATCTAAAAACACCATTTTCTTAAACTGTCGACATGATTACGCAAAAATTATTGAACCGAATAACTTGAAATTTTCACACAATATATATAGTAGACATGTAATTTTCGCCCTTATCTCGAATATAGTTATATTTTATTTTATTCATTTTTTTTAAACGATTACAAGTTGAAAAAAGTTTCATTTTCGATACTTCTTTTTTGTACAGTTATTATTTTTCCAAACTTGGCTTCACTGTCTTCATTTTGATACGGGCTATGATAACCATATATTTTAAAAATCTTTCTCATTTTTTAGTTTTAGAGTAGTAAAAGGTCTGGAATTATGTCGACAGCAAATATAGCAAATGGATAACTGCATTTTTATCTATAGTTACAAATTGGATCGGTTCTTGTGATTCAATAAAATTTATTTTATACTTTGAACACTGCGAAAATTTCATTCAATTGATCTTACCGTTTCTGTTCAAAAATTTGTAAAAATAATCTTGAAAACGGCCTTCCGCATGTAACTCTTCCCTTAAAAGAGCCATGTACCACGCAAATGAGATAAATGCACGCGCGCGCGCAACTTGTCATTACTTCTGAGAATAATGATAACCTTTGTTATATTTTTTTTACATACATGTCTATTGGTTTGATTGTTTTCTTGCTCTTCCTAACGAGACGCACCACCGTAGTGATATCCCACTTCCGCGCCTTCCGCAAACCGACCCGATCAAATAAACTGCGCGAAACTGCATACATTAGAGTAACTTATCTCGCCGGATCAAGCGTGAGGTCACGTATGCGTTTCTCGAAACGTTATCTTCGAAACGTTATCTTATCAAAAGCGCACGTCAAAAGATGATTGAACTTGGTAAACGTGCGCGCGCGCAGATACTTCAACGTCTACTTCTACTTTGCAGAGACTAATTCCGGTCCGTGTCCAGACGGCTATTTAGGCCCGCCGGACTGCAAGAAGGCGCTCTGTTATCCAAACTGCATGAACGGTGGCAATTGTACGGCGCCCGGAATATGCTCGTGTCCGCCAGGATATCAAGGACCCTATTGCGAAGGAGGTACAACAGACGTAAATTAATAATACAAGGGAGTATAAATCTGAGGAAATGAATGAGCGTTACCGAAGTGTCCTGCGAATTTCACAGGGCCGTTTCGTGTTGTTGATTTGTTCAGTTACTAAAGTGATCCGGGAATGCGCTGGTCATGTTTATTTAATCGTTTATCCGCTTCACACCGACACCGTATCTTAACAAATGCAGAGTCTCCGACTTGTTTCCAGGAAATCGCAGCGGAGGATACAACATATTCTCACACCTATTATTACAGATTCTCTCAATTCTCATTCTTACGTACGTCGGCTAACAGCTACGTATTGCCGTAATAATCTATTCTAAATTTACTGCACATTTCTTCTACTTTCTCTTCGTAATCTCGCAGCCGCAAGAAGCCGCATTCCTAAGGAATAACGTTAGAGATATTTCGTGTTAGAAAAATCCACCATTAAGAGTCCCAACGATACTTTTATCACCAAGAGAGATCACAATATATTTCGAAGAAAGAAACGAGACCAAGTGACTGCAACGGACTCGGAGGAGTATCCCTTGCACCTTTAAATTGCCTCACCATAGCTGTTAGCACAGAAGATAATTCATCAGCCCATATACGAATCACGGTATCTACAAGCTTTAGCAGGCCACGTCGCGTCAAGTGCGTCCTCATATCACCTTGGACACGGATATGGCTGTCTTACAGCCGAACTTAATGACGTTCGTTAAAGTCTGGTAGAACGGCGCCTGCTCAGCGCCGTGGCCGATGCCGGTGTCGTGATGCTCCTGCTCTTCATCGCGAAACTGCTTGATCGTCTTGAGTACCTCCTCGTCCACGTGCTCCTTGCTCTCCATTAGCGTGCGCAGCTGGTCGTTGTAGTGCTCGACTATCACCGTCTCCACGGCGACTGTGCACGCCATCGCCGCCTTCTCGCCCATGAGCGCGGTGCCGGCGCCCAAGACAAAGCCGGCGACGTTCCACAACGGGGTGAGAACGGTGGGCCTCACACGGTACTTCCGAATCAGCTCCTCGAACTTGGCGCGGTGCCGCTTCTCTTGCTCCCACATGTGTTGTATGGTCGGCCCGACCTGCGTCTTGCCTGCGCTCGCACAAAATCGTCAGCCTGACGGTGTTTTTTCTCGACCGACGGAGACTCAACGAGCCGTGGGACACGGGCGACTGACAATCGCGCCACCCGGCTCGGTGGCTTCCTGTTTACTAGTGCATCTGTTCCTCTAAAGTTTCTCTCTGTGAAAATATACAGGAGATACAGAGAAACGCAGCCTACTCGATGCGTTGCACCACCACCACCTGTAGCACGATTGAGTCGTCCACGTGCCATGGCTCTTCAATTCGCTCAAACTTTACTGCTTCAGCGACTTTACCTAGCACGGCCATTTGTCCGGCATAGATTCTGTCGGCTCCCAGTTCACCGGCATGGTCGACTCTGATTATCGAGTCCAGTGTCTTTCCAGGCGTGCACGTAGCTGTTGCTGACGTGCTGGCCAGTCGTGTCCCCAGTCGTCCAATGTGCAACATTTTTCTGTTAAAGTTAAAAGTTTGAATTAAACTTTAAGTTTAGAGAAAAATGCAGTGAGACATACGAGTTCACAGTGTCAAATATAATTTCAGGTATCTGTGATCAAAAGTGCCTGAATGGAGGGAAATGCGTACAGAAGGATGTCTGCGAATGTCCCAAAGGCTACTTTGGCACACGCTGCGAATTTTGTAAGTGCAAATGATTATATTAGCAATTTGTTTTGTATATATAAAATTTCCCAAGTCTGCAAGTTTAAAAGATCCTATCACATTTGCTGTTTCAGCCAAATGTTTTGTGCCTTGCGTGAACGGTGGCAAGTGCAAGGGAAATAACATATGTAGATGCCCGTTGGGATTCAAAGGAGATCACTGCGAGATCGGCAGACGCTCCTCGCAGCGGTCTACGTGCACGACAGCATGCAGAAATGGAACTTGTCAGACGGACAACACGTGTCTCTGCAATAAAGGTTGGTTTGGGAAGTTGTGCAGCAAAAGAAAACCGTGGGCTTAGGAAGTGACAACAGCTATCCTCAGCATCAATTTCTTCGCACCAACTGAGAAGACATTTGAGCTCATTTGTGTCATTTGTAAATTGCCAGAACTACAGCGCGAGATCACATTTACAACATATGTATAGTAGGCTATATTTAAAGCGACGAGAACAAACTATATTGATAGTTAGCAGAGAATCTCTTGTGGTAGTAGAACGATACATGTAGGTTGTTCTGTTTTATTTAAAATGACAATGAACGAGACAAATGTGCAAGAGGAATCCCATCAAAATTTGTCCCTCAACTAGTTTCGATTGGTCACTGGGATGTGATCAGCTATTTACTATTATTTATAGTCTCTACCTTACTCTATTTCAGATGTGATATGTAAAGCTGCTTTATGCCAGTTTATAACATTATATGTATACTTAGTTATTAATACTTTTGTACTGTAGATGTAACAATTGTAAGAAAAAAAAAAAAGAACAAAAATATAAGAACAAAATGTATTTTCTAACAGTTTGAAAGCATGTGTTTGTACAACATAACAAACGGATCCTTGAATATAAATCGACAATTACAGTCTCACTCTAAATACTGGAAGACTCAAGTCACTGCAGAAAGTAATTTGTCACTGGTACAAGTCACTTATTTCGAAAGCGACGCGAGTACAATTTCCGAAGGCTATTTCACATCGCACTCAGGCGCAAATCGTTCTCTGTCGTCACAAGTAATCACGAGCTTCTCAATTTCTCAATCAACCTGAGATAAAAACGTCAACAATTCTCGCGCAAATGGTATCACGACATGTGAGGAAACCAATGCCAGCTAAGCGAGAAACAAGAAGTTCGTCTTCTAATACGCTGAACAAGTGTAGCCCTCCGCAACTCGAAAAGAAACATGACGAGATAGATGTTCATCTCGAGACTTGCCCCGTAGAGAGGCAATCCAATCGATTGAGCAATAGAAAACAAACGCAACAACCGGCAATGATGACACAACACGAGAGCGTACGAACGCGTTCCCCGTTGCGTCTCACCCGACATCACGTCGACGAGGGTGGCCCCGGCATGCCCTGGGAGTGCAAGAAGAAGCATAACACAAGTTATTACCCGCGTGCCATCGGCGATCCCCGAGCGTGCTCGCACCGCTGAGACCCAACAACGGCGGCAGTCGCGAACGGAAGCGGCACAGAGGTTATGTCATCCCGACATAACGTTTAGTCGCGCCGCGAACGGTAGTCACGTGTCCCTTCGACCAATGGCCATGGCCGTGCTCGGTCCGCCATGACGCGTGTCCCACGGGCTCCCGCCAATCGCGCTACCCTCAGCCTGTATACATGTATATGGCGTTGGCGTTCTCCCGGATCGCTGCTGCCGTTTCACGGATTTCCACGGGAAAACGGTGAGTGCCGACGCGGCGGCCGCGCACACTCGATACGTAAGTAAGCATCGTCCGGCCTCGCTCCGTCGTAGCGTACGGCGCGTTCGCGAAATAGCGGCAATTCCGCATCGTCTGCTCGGGCGGGCGTGCATCGCGCAGGCTCGCGCTCGCCAAGATGGCCGGTCCGCGGTCGCGTTTGTTGTGGTGGTGATGGAGGCCCGCTCGGTACCGATCGATACGCCCGCCGCCGAATACCGGCTATGGCGGCTAGCGTTGTCGCGCGTCACGCGTCCTGAGATAAACGCTCCGTCGGGCAAGAGCGTCGCGATCGCCGCCGCTGGTACCGCCCGGTGATGATAAGCGTCCGCGCGACCGTGAACAGCGCGGGGCGTGGTGCGAGAGCGTAGCCGAGACGGCGGCCTCCCCGCAGACGCGACGAGCCCTGTGCGAGAGCCCTCCCTGATCCACTCCGCGGGACACACCAAGGTGCGTACGCAACTCGCGATTTACACTGGGCCTGCTCCATCGGCTACCGCGTTACCGAGCAGTCGTCGTGAGCAGCTCCGCGGCTACCCGGAGGTGGTGGTCTCTCTTTTGCGTGTGCCCTGCGCATTTTCATTGCCCCCCCAAAGTATCGGTCCGAATAAACGCGCATATCTCCCGTCTCCCTCTCTGTCCGTGAGCGAGCGTGCCGTTCCTTCTCGCTCGAGACTCGGCGACGAGCGCTCTCGATGTGTGTTTCTCTCTCTCTCTCTCGCTCGTTCGCTCGCTCGCTCTTTCTCTCGCGGCCTCTTACGCGCGTTGTCTTTATTGTCGCCGCGTCTTGTCTTGTTGTTGTGTTGTGTGTCGTGTCGCTCCTACCGTCTGTCCGTTCGCGTTCATCGTTGTCGTCGTCGTCGTCGCCGTCGCCGTCGCCGTCGCCGTCGCCGTCGTTTTCGTCATCATCGTCGTCGTCTGTCAATTCGATGTGTGTGTGAGACAGAGAGAGAGAGAGAGAGAGAGAGAGAGAGAGAGTGAGATGCCGCGAGAAAAACTAAAGACGCGGTGGTTGCTGCTACCGTTGTAATAGCCGTTGCTGTGGCCGTCGGTGCCGACGTCTTCGTCGTCGCCATCCTCATCGTCGTAACGAGTCGTGTTTACGGTTGCGGGCTACGCTGTGTACACGCTGTAGGATTCGACTATTTCCGACGACGTGCCTCTTGCTTGCGTGCACAGCCACACCACCACGACCAGGTTCATCGGCAGGATGTGTGCTCCACGCCGTGGAAGCCTAAGAGGAAGGCGAACCGTCGGCCGCAGACGCGAGCTGTCCTCTCGTCAGTTGCGCGAAATGTATATACAAAATGTGTATCCTCGTGTCGAAACACGTGCTTTCATGTTGCGCGTCGCCGACTCGCTGCATTTTTCCCGCGGCACGCGCCGTAAATATCGTGCGGCGTTTATGCGAGTGTAGTGTATGGGACTGTGAGTTTTTTCGTTGATCGATTGTCGTGAAATTGATATTCTCGCACACTCTCTTCGGTAATTTTGCAAGATACTCGGGTGTCGCTTTGCGCCTTTTGCCAATTCGACCGAAGTGAGGAATTTTTACGCGTGGCTCGCGCTTGATGATTTGTTGCATACGTATATCTGCTCAATCTTTCGTGTCATCTGTAAAAAATGATCGATTAAGAATAATTATCTGTTGCAAAGTAAAAATTAGTGATCGAGCAAACATACTGTGTCGCTATTCGTATTGTGTCGCTTCTCCGCGAGTGAATCGAAAGGATAAATAATGCTCTTATCCGCGACCCGGCGACTTTCGCGCAGCGAAATTCGACTCAATTGTTCTTAACACTCCACTGAACACTGCTTTATTCTGTTATTTCAGGCTAAGGTGATGTAGAAAAAATTGAAACTGCCAGATTGACATAGCTTTCTCACGGGAAACTGCAATACATCAAAGGCCAAGACGGGTGACAGGGAGAAGAGGATGGTATCTCTGTCCAACGCAGAGACCGGTACGATGGACAGAATCTCAGACGACGACGATGACGAGCCTAGTAGCGGATCGGAAACGTACGAGGAAGGAGATCTCCTTACAGCTGCTATGGACGATGATGTAACAGCACAACTCGCCGCTGCAGGTTGGCAATACAAACACATTAATGGTGATTTCCATTTTTTTGCTTTCTCATTCTTTTTTTATTTATTCACCCATAATCGTATTTAATTGCGAGTCGAATGCGAGTCACTGCCATCAGGACCTTGCATAGGTTTGTTCACAGTGTCAGAAAGCTTTAGTGAGATGTACCGAGACAAACGCTTCAGCGATGAACGTCAAAAGAAATTTGTACTACGAGGCTCTTACACGTCTATGTTTACAAAAAAACTGTAAAATTACAATTTGTGTATAATCGATATCACTGCAGATCAATCTCGTGGATTCATTTTGGTTCGATATAATACGATACCGTAGTTCTGTCTATTAAATCATCCATTAGATGAAGCAACTAATGAATAAACATATTGCGACTCCCACTTTTGGATATTATTATCATTAAAGACGGATTTTCTATTTACATTTGAAATATCTGAAACCTGAAAATATGTCAAAAGGAAGATGGTTTATAGTTTGCTTATCTCATCGCGCATTTCTCTTTTTGTATCGCGATAATTTCGCATAGATTTGCATATAACGATTATTCTGCCAAATCCATTCTGTGTGTATTTTATAGCGCTTGTGTGCTACATGTTTGTGTTATCTTTTTATTCTTGTTTTACGTTTTTATGCTTGTATATGATTATTTTGTACATCATGTATACAAAGTTTGTTTATTTATGGAATTCTATATCATTGTTGCCTGCGCATTGTTGTTTGAATGTTTTAAAAGTACATGTGTGTTCGATATGTCGATACAATTCTTCGATATTGATTTCTTCACCATATAAATAAGCGTCTCATCGGTACGTTTCGTTCTCATTAATTCTAGTGAAACTTTCAAAACTCACTCCTACATTCTTTCATCTTTTATTGTATTGTTTCGATATTGACATATCGAGCTGCTTAGGAATCATAACGATCGACACATTTTTGCAATAATAAAAATATCTTTAGGACCTGTCGGTGTAGCCGCAGCTGCCGCCATCGTATCAGCAAAGAAACGAAAACGTCCCCATAGTTTCGAAACCAATCCCAGTATCAGGAAGAGACAGCAAAATAGACTTCTCAGAAAACTTAGAGTAAGTACAAAATGTCAATTGTCAATTCAAGAGGAACGGAATCGCGTGTCTGACACTAAATACGCCACATTGTTGCATTTCTTATATTCCTTATATTTTGACCGCGAGCTTCGGTAATGGCTTTTAACGGCAAAGGGTGAAACGATACACGATACATACATGGTATTAATATTAATTAACAATAGTGACCGCACAAAGGGTTGAGAGAAAAGAGGGCAAGTCCGTAAATTGCAAGCTGCTCATAAGAAACGTCAGATTTAACACCAGAACTATCGACGATTGACGGCTCATTTCTACTAGAGCGAAATAACAGGTTTTTTCAAAGATAAATAATATGAAAAATTGATGATTTACTTTCCATTGAACGCCAATTGAAAATCTAACATGTAGACTTCTGTGATTCTTCAAAGAAATTACAAATCGGCCGTTTTTGGAACGTTTTCGTAGTTCTAGTGTTAAGCTGATTGGCTTATCGTAGTGCTACAAGATTGCCCAGGAATATTATTGCACAATATGTTTACCATTTAACACAATTGCAGCAAACTATCGACGAGTTCGCGACGAGAGTCGGACAGCAGGCGGTAGTGTTAGTGGCTACTCCGGGTAAGCCAAATAGTAGTTACAAAGTTTTCGGGGCGAAGCCGTTAGAAGACGTAGTGAAAAATCTAAGGACCGTTATCATGGAAGAGCTGGAGAGCGCGTTGGCGCAGCAAGCACCGCCGCCCGTGCAGGACGATCCGTCTCTGTACGAATTGCCGCCCTTGATCATTGATGGTATACCAACACCAGTGGAAAAGATGACACAGGCGCAACTTAGAGCATTTATTCCATTGATGCTAAAATACTCAACTGGTCGAGGTAAACCCGGTTGGGGCAGAGACAGTACGCGACCACCTTGGTGGCCCAAAGAACTGCCTTGGGCGAACGTGCGGATGGACGCGCGGTCGGAGGACGAGAAGCAGAAGGTAACTTGAATACAGCTATACCCGAATCTTCTGATCTTGCGGCGTTTTTATTCTCGGCAATCTGGATGATGATTTGTTGGTGCATTGCAGATCTCGTGGACCCATGCGTTGCGGCAAATTGTAATAAATTGTTATAAGTTCCACGGAAGAGAAGATCTTCTACCGGCGTTCAGCGAAGAGGATGACAAGTCAACCGTTCTGATACAGCAAGCTACTCCCCACTCTTCGTCGCATTCTCAGTCGCACTCGTCGAGTCAAGGGCAAAGTGGACAGTCGCAGCAGCAACAGACGGTGGGAGTTGTTCGCCTCAACAGCACGGATTCATCTAAGGGAAACTCTTCGCCAGCACAAATCATTGCCGCGTCTCCCACAGCTCTTGCCACTGCCACCCAGGTGGGAGTGGATAGAGGAAATCTAAAAAAGAAAAATCTTTGCTTATCGGCCGTCTTTTATTTGCACTACTGTACATTGATAAAAAGAATCGTAGACATGACGGGGGCCTTGATACGAAATCTCGTTGTAAAGACATGTGTATGTTTCAGGCTCCAAATTTTTTCGGAATCGACATATAATGTATCATTTTCATTTGTTATGTCGTTTCTCGAAGCCAACCATTCGATACTATATCGTTTATAAGTATCATACTTCTCTCCAAGTTTCTCTCCACGGCGAAGAATTACGAATCAGCAATGTAGCGCAGAAAACGAGAAGATAAACATTTTATGTTTTCGTTTCGTACATTTGGTTTCCCTTATTTGAGTTAGATTTGCTTTCCACTGTTATTGTTATTATGTCACAACACTGTTGTTATGTCTGATTTGTATGTAGGACGTATTAATGTCCTTGAGTTACAATAGTGTTTGACAGTGAATATTCATTTGCACTTTAATCTTATATTTTATTAGAATCGTTTTGATTTTAATGTAACAACGAAAGTAATTAATAATTGCCATTCGTCTTACAGATGACGGCCCAATATCCCACAGCTGTATTGCAGACAATAACCAATCCGGATGGTACAGTTTCTATAATACAAATGGATCCTAATAATCCAATCATTACGTTACCAGATGGTACGACAGCTCAGGTTCAAGGCGTTGCTACCGTAAGTATTCCCACTGGAGCACAATTCGAGAGATATGTGAAATCTCCCACGTAACGGTCTCGTCTCTCCTGCGTGAAATCTTAATATTACGTTTGCACTTAGATCCACACGAGTCAAGGAGAAGTGCAAACACTAGCAGAAGTAGCCGGTGGTACGGAGGGTGCTAGTGTGGCTGTTGATCTGAATAGCGTTACAGAAGCGACGTTAAGTCAAGACGGCCAAATCATCCTTACCGGGGAGGACGGACACGGTAAAACAGTTTTCTATAGGCTCTGCACCGTCGCCGGCCAGGAGCTGCTCGAGCAGTGATTCGGTTAAATTCTTTTTTTTTTTTTTTTTTTCTTTTAAATTTTAAATAGCCCAGAGGTTCATACACACTTTGTTACTTTGCATGCTGTACACTGTGCTCCAATCAGGGAATCGTGTCTATGTGTCGTACTGTTTTGTATACTAAAGTAAAGTAGGAAATTAATTAGTTTTTACTTACCGCCTCGTATTGTATATATATACATACATACATATATATAGCAATTTTATTATGGAGCTATGCACAGCTTTAACCTTGTCTTTTTTTCCTCTTTTTTTTTCTTTTTTTTGTTTAAGAATCCACGGTACGCACTTACTATCGAAGAAGTATGCAAGTAGACATTCAAATTTAGAAGCGTTTTTACTTCGATTCAAACGTTTTTCTGTTAGGAATAAAGTACTAAAACTAACATGACTGGTGATACATGTTGCATCGAGTACTGTTGCGTTCATGTGTTACATATTGATTCCAGTAATAAATGTTTCGTCAAAATGGTCGCACACATGAAACAAAATACAAAAAAAGGAAAGAAGAGGAATACCATTTATATAGATGCATATATAAATGTCTCACTTAAGTCCTAAACGAAAATTTCATGGAAGCAGACTTCGGCTGCGGAATGCAATTTTAGCAATTAGCATTCAGTCGTCTGAGGTTTTGAAAATTCCGTCTAATTTAATCGTTTATGAATAAATAAATTACGGATGCCTTGATATTATGTTAGGAAAAAATCTGTAAATTTTCCGAAGAATGTAAAGTGCTACGTTAGAGTGAATGGCCCAGTAACCGGAATAACGTTTAAGCGTAGGTCGTCACAAATAATACAATATATAATATTAAGAATAATTTTGATATAAATATTTGCATTTATTCGAAAATTTCAGATTCCCTTAAGTGGAGAAAAATTATTTAAACCAATGTATGTATCTATTATTAATGAGATATTTACATAACTGATGAAGCGCATTAATGTGCGCAGTGACCGGACAGTTGAAATAGGTTATGGCCCAATGTTCGGATATATTTGTCCCAGTATCTGACTGCAATTAGAAAATTAGTATGTGCTAACGGGAAATAATATAAATCTAGATGCTATCTCTTAATGCATTTATTAACGATTGACCATCATTTTGCCAAACTATAGGTGCATATTTATTTAATTAATTTTTATTTTAACACTAAAGTATCAAATTGGGTGTATCTTTTTTCCAACTAATTGTTAAATATTGGATCTTTTTAACAATAATTATTACTTTCATTCATTAAATACTTTTTTTTCAAAGTGGTCGGATCCTGGGACGTGTCCAGCTATTGGGATCATTGGTTTATCTTAAAAGTGCCAAGTTCTACATGTGCGATCTTTTCGACCGTGTGGACATGCAGACGACAGTACTCGGTGGGCAGAATAGTATTATACATATAATGATGTACAATATTCGGATGCATAATTCTTAAAGTGCATTTGTAAATTTATATCCGCATTGCTCTGCGGCGCGAATACATAATTCTTTTCCAACACTACTGACATCGAGCACATGACACGGCACGCAAAAAAGAATTATTTATAGTACATAAAAAGTTCTCACGCGCGGGCGGTTTTGTGATAATTATTAATAATATAAATATGTGTGACACGTGCTATGTCACAAAATAAGAAGACGTATCACCACTGGATTCTTAAAGACGAATCATTAGACAATCATATAAAGCGATTGTGTCACGATAACGAAAGAGAAACTTTTATCACGATCATTTACATTATTATCGAAAATTGGTTATTGATTTTGGTTAAACGAAGAAAAATAAACTTGCTGTACATAGAGTATTTTTTGTTGATGTTTTATTATTTTGTATGTTATTACGTTCAGCGACCTATGTTCAAGCTATTTGGGATAAATGGGTTCAATGCGTTAATCAGGCGTAATGTGATTTTTATATGTTTTTCCTCCGGTTCCTCCTTGTCTCGCGAATTCGGTAGTGTCCGAAGCTTTATCGCAAACAGCTTGAGCACCGGTCGTCTCTTATTTGTTGTAAAGTATTTTATATGATATACGCCTACTTGTCGTAAAACAGAACGTGAGCTGTGTGATAATTTTGAAGTAAGCTGAAGGGGTGTGCCGGATGGAATTTTCAATTTTGTCAGATCATACACAATGTACATCATCCACTTCCTCCTCAGTGACGCACACTCAGCACGCTCTGTTGAAACACGTTCGTTACTACGTTCGTCACGCACGTGCGACGCACCGATTCTCGCGAGAGACCGACGTTACATGTGTGCGACAGCGATGACTTTCTCCACCCTGTGTCCACATACACACGAATTGAGTCTGTCTTACACCATTACGTGGGAAGGAGTCATAGGGTGATAAATCTGTAGTTGTATAGTGTTGATTTCATTTTCCAAATGAACGACGGTGACGAACGTGTTAGTAAGATTCGTTCGTTGGCTCTGCGAATTGTTCGACCTTCTGAATCTTGTAACGCGCTGCACTCGATCTCTATCGAAATAACTTATTACTAAATAACTTAGTAGACATTCGACTGTATCGTAAACTGGTAGCATAGATCGTTTCACAATACAAGCCAAAGATCTCTTCCGACGAGAGACTATTTTTTCATAAATATATATAGTGCAAGCGACACGAGATTTAATTATTATACACATACACAAACACGCAGAGAGAAAGTGAGTGAGTGAGTACAAGAAAGAGAGAGAGAGGGAGGGGGAGGGAGGGAGGGAGAGAGAGAGACGTATTGATGTAGCATTTTGCAAACAGCTTGTTGAGCATTGTCGTAATTGTGAATATAATTTGAAGTATACATGTCATATTTGTTCTCCAGTTTACAATACAACAAGCAGATCGAATCGCACACGCCTGAGATCGCAGGCAGAGCAGATAGGACGTTCGTTTGTCTGTTGCAGGATATCCTGTTTCGGTATCGGGTGTGATCACCGTACCGGTATCAGCCGGTATGTATCAAACTATGGTGGCCAATATTCAGAGCGACGGCACGATGCAGGTCGTCGCGCCAATGGTTCAGGTGCCCAAGGTCGAGCCCGGCAACGGCGAGAGCCTCGAGGCCGTCACTATACAGGGTCATCCTATGACCATGATTAACGCCGCCGGCGAGCATCAGGTTCTCCAAGTGATATCCCTGAAGGACGCCAATGTTCTAACGAAGGCTATTCAGGCCGAAGTTGTTAAGGATGAGGATAGTCAGCCGCAACAAACTGTGTCTAGCCCAGAATAGAAAAAAGAGCGAAAGAACAGGGAGAAAGAGTGAGAATGCGTGAGAGGGAGAGAGAGAGAGAGAGAGAGAGAGACAATGGTCAAGTATATTGCGTTTATAGTTGACAGAGTCACTCTGTATGTCTAGAACGCAGCGCGTGGTTTTGCAACATAATATGAGAGAGGGAGACATACGGAAGCGATGAGGAGAGCGAGTGAAGGAATTAATGATGATTGATGTGTTCTTTCTCTTTGAGTCACTGTATAGTATGTCCTACTGACTGCGGATCATCGAAAACAGAGAGAGAGAGGGGGAGAGAAAGAGAGAACGAGCGGTTCTGTCTGAAAGTGAGAAAGCAAGAGAGAGAGAGAGAGAGAGAGAGAGTGTGTGTGTGTGCGTGTGTGTGCGCGTGTACGTGCGAATGAATGTATGCGTCGGATTAAGATTATTCGTATTTGTACTCGAGATTTATTATAGGCGCTTGAGGGTATTCACTTGCAATTTGACTTCTCAGACGTAGTATTAATTTTTTAAGAGATTGTTTTATCGCGATCAGAGTGGGCGATATTGACCGCCCACGGTCTCCGCAGACACAATTCGCCGGAATGCATACGTGTAACTATCTCGTATATTGTTTATTGGAAAATGGAAAGTCACATCGACGTAAATGTATTTTCCGGTATTGTGCAAGCTATATTAAGGACATATTTTCATCTAGTCTTAGAGTCAGGTCAGGTCAGATCAGGTCGAGGTATACCAAAGAAAACGGGAAAAACGAGAAATTTATTTTTAATCCGACAACCTGAAAGAGAGAGAAAGAGAGAGAGAGAGAAAAAGAGAGAGATAGGTTCATACAATATGAAAATGTTTATTCGGAGGTTTTATCAACATACGACGAAGTCTGTGTAATTTTTATATAGAGCTCGATCGCTTCCACAACATAGCGGGTATAAAGCAACTTATCCGATTTCCCCGCCTTGGATCTCAATAGCCCAGAGTAATTAAAACTTAAAGGAAAAAAAATGAAAAACTTAATAAAAGCACAAATCTCTCCCTCAATTCGCAAGTACGTAGGAGTAAAATAAGAAACATTACTGTTTGGTTCTCTATCTCTACAAAGATCTGTCGTCTGTAAGGAAAGGTTAAACCTATTTTTATTATGGGTAAGGAAATCACATTATAAGATAGCTTTTTTTTCTATTGCAAAAATATGCAACCATATACATATATATACACAGACACAAACACATGCATGGGATGTCCTGATGTCACTGTCGGAAAGTCTGTTGACCGCAGACCCTCTCCTAGGAACATTCTCAGGCAAAAATTCCAGTACATTCTTATTAGAAGATAATTTTTGTCACGATAGCCTTTTCTAGGATAATTTCCACTAGAATAGAAACGAAAGGGTTAAGATGAAAATCGCTTTAAAATACGTCTCTGAGAATTTTAACGATCCAAACCAAAACTAAAACTCGCATGCTCAGATACGGTTGCTCGCACAGTGTTGCAAGTGCCTTGGCGCCCCAATTATTTCTACAATATTAATGTAAATTTGAATACAATATACGTTACCAACATTTTTCTGTACATCTGGCTTCATCTCTCTTGTAGACAATTAATTAGTTCGTGCAACAACAGCGTGAAAGTGTCATCAAATAATCGGGACTCCGGGCTGCGGCTCCATTTTCGCTATTGTGCGATAAAATGTAACGAGATAAAACCGTGCGGTGAATGGTATCCGAGTGCGCGAATTCTTGACAGTCTAATCGGTTATTCCCCGAGAGGATTTCCATCTGAAGAATCATACTTTTGACATTTTCGCAACACGATTTCATCTCATTGATGACATATCTGAAAATATTTTCAAGCATCTGCCATTGACAGGTGTCACAATAGTGACGGAATACTATGCGTATGTGTATATATATGTATATATATATACACATTGTATATATACATATTGTACATATATACATGATATGTATATATGTACAATATGTATATGTATATACGCAATATGTATATATACATGTACATGGTATATATATGTATATACATAATATATGCATACATACATACATACATATATCACTCACATATGTGTGTATGTGCGTAAGAGGTTGATAATAGAAGTAATGACAAAGAAAAAAAAAAAGAGATAAGCATTTCTGATGGGTACAAATAGGATATAAGATGTGTGTTTTCGAGAGAGAGAGAGAAAAAAAAAAGAAAGAAACAGAATATACGGATTTGGAAATTTCAAAACGCACCAACAAGGCGTGTGTCCATAGTCTTATTTTACGAATGAATCATATTGCACTACTTACATACTTGCTTCGATTAGGATGGTCGAGTAAAAGAGAGCATCGCATGATTGCATATCAACGCGATGGAAAAAAATATAATAAGAATGATGACGGAGCGAGGCAGTGTTCATTCATCACTTTGATTCACATATACACACATACACTCCAATTGATGCTAAAAATGACGAATGAACGCTCCGTGTTCTACGCTCTGTACATTATATTTCTACGAAAGATTATGTAATGTTTCCAATCTTGAAAATTATACCGTAGCTATATATGTACGCACTAATTTTCTAAAGAAGAGGAGAGTACACGATTGTAAAAATCAGAACTTGAATATCGTCCTTCATTCCACTCGAAGGTAATCAAAAAAGAATAAAAAAAAAATTAATCGATTCTATTTTACATTGAATAGTGTCGGACTGTATCGTGGCATTTAAAAAAAAAATCCATTGATCCATTTTGATATGATGTATCTAAAACGGAAAGTGTATTTTTTGTGTGCAATCTTGTTTCAATGTTGCGGTACCGATGCGTGTAAACACAAATACACAGTTATATGTATATTTTTTCTCCTGTAATAATTAGTATCTCACGATCTTCTTTCGTCTTCATTCTTCTTTCGCGATCTCTGCAAGATCTCCCCATCGTGATGACCGTTCCTTCTAATTGGAACGAAATTGATGTGCGTTCATTTAGCAAGTCTTGCAATGATCTGATTGCAAATTAGGTTTCTACACAACTGTGTATAGCTCTCTCACATTTATCTCCAAAGGTCGTAACATTGAAACAACAAACTGCCCCTGAGAAAAGAAACCACGTGTAATAATACCAAAGAGGTTTTTATAACATTATAGAGGGAAAAATAGTGTGTTGAGATTAGAGATAAATACTATTAAAACCTATCATAATGATACTAGATACTAATTGTTGCGTCGTTTTTTTAAGACCAAGGCCACTATATTAATAATGTAAAATATATCGGTACTCACGTGTAAAATAAACATGTTATATTTTCCCTTTGTTGTTTGTAAGAAAGCACACGGAGCATAAATTAAGTTGAATGTCATTCGAAAAGGAAAAACGACAAAAAAATGTGTATTACGATTTTAGATAATTATAGACATATGTGTATATGACTTTTGGTTGCCTGTCGTTGCGTATCCACACTCCTAGTCATCTCCATTATTATGTAATTTATAAATATACGTCATCTGGTATATAATTTATAAATATGTCATATGATGCCTGGAGGGGCAAGGGTAAACCCAAGAGACTTTGGCGGGTGTAATGTACAATTTGCGTCTCAATTTTAACGGTAGATCTTTTGAGCAATTTTAATTGAATTTATTTTTGGCAAAGATATCGAGAGAGCCTCTGTGTTCTGATGTCGTTTTTCAATTGTATATCTTACAAGTAAGATGGCATTATGTTAAATTTTGTAAAGCGAAAAGTGGAACTTTTGTTAAAAATTGCTCAAAATAACGTTAGAATTTTGATTTAATACGTTGTGTTGCTTTTCTAGTCCATGTCAAGGGACCACACGTTATACAGACTTAGCTAAATTCTTCTTGGTGTTACTCTTTATCCACACACTCTTTGTCACTTATTTATCATTGTAAGATTTTCTTGCTATATAGCAATAAATAACAAGATCCAATTACTTTAAATACAGCACATGATCATCAATCGTTTTGCGATTATAAGGAAATGTACAAACGAGATGTCTCATCGACTTGATTTCAACACAATTTGCTAAACACCAGATTCTGTGAGCTGTGTACACAATGTATTAATATTAATGATAATATTGTACTATTATGATATCTATTATCGTATATATGGTAATTTTTAAGTTCCTTTTGACTCTATAAGATGAAGATATGTTAATTACAACTGTGATTCTTTATTCAATAATGCCGCTGGTAATGCAAATACATGAAAAGTATAAGTTCAATTTCACCGATGAATTATTCTTTCGTCATGCATGTTTCTGTGCCACACGCAGCAGCGTAGAGATAAATACTAAAGTTTATATTATTGATTCTCTTGGCTTATCACATATGGTACACCGATTCAAGGGCTAATTCTGGTTTGTCATAACCTAGTTGCTCAGGTGTGCTGATACCCAACTCATCCAAGGTGGGTTTGATTTCTTGAATAATATAAGGGTAAATCGTGTTAACGTGAGGTCCGGCCTTTTCTTTCACAGATTCTATAAACCTCACGGCGAGTGCGAAATCGTTCAACCTTCTGCAGGCTCTCAATGCCGCACATATGATCTTTGGTTCTGGTACAACATCCATACCTAAATCAGACGTAACGTACGGGTGAATAAAACAATGTCAATGCCAAATTTTTCATGTGTTACAATCTCACAAAGCTGTAACTGTAAAGTTTTACCATTTTGTGCAAAATTATAGCTTACAGAAATGTAGCTGCTGCTAACTTGCTGTAAACTCGACTGTCTGTACATCTTAAATTTTACACAATTTTCAAACTTTTACGACATTTTACACACATACCCAGAGTGCATTCCTACTATTATTATAGTAGTTCGATTCATTTGATACAAGTGAATTCTACCAACGCGTCGTAGCCGGTAACAAACTCACCGGCCAGGTCGTTCATGGCCTTTCGGATCTCCCAGTGATCAATGTCGTTGCGACTGAAGAATTTTACATATCGCTCGTCGAACTCCTCGTCGGTCTCCTGGACATCGTGGGATGCTCTGGTGCTCTGCGTACCGGTGACAGCGGTCGCACTTCGCGATGCCAACAGACTCGTGCGTGCCGCCGAGCTCACACGTGCCGCTACAACGCGTAACATCGTTTTGTTCAAGAATTCTCGTTCTCCAAATGCTCAAGAAAACCCTCGACGGTCGAGGACCAGGCTGTCTGTTGCGTAAACCGTATACGACGGAAGTCGATACAAGAGGGACGTGTGATTGCCGGCATTCACCGCCAGATGGCACAGATTTCCCACTTCCTCTCCTTAGAAATCGATGGCGCGTTTTCAAATTAAATCTCTACCCGGCGAGTTCCTGTGTCCTTTCCAGAAAACAATGTAGAAAGAAATGAATAATCCTAGTGACACGTGTAGTGGTCTGTAAAATATCTACAAATGGTATCAAATATGATATTTTTGCGTTGAGAGATATAAGAATCGCCTTTAAACTTTTACAAAGTAACACATACTTTTCACAAAGAAAATAATTAATTCCATTATACGCAAACATTATTTATGGTCAGAGATGTGCTAAATATTTAGCCTCGACGTTACTTTATATTGGGAGAAATTTAAAATTGAAAGTTTTACAGGTTTTGAAGAAGAATATTTTAAAATCGTATTCATTGTCTCGTAGATATTTTTGCGTAAATCCTCATGTAGCTTTAACGTTTTCTGCAACAATGGTCGTAATAGTGGGTCGAATAACAGGAGAGAACTTACTTGATGTGATCAATCTGGCACCTCGGTGTTTCACGCCAGCAAATATTAAGAGGTTGAATTAATTCTGGTCTTATTTTGTAAATTTTTTATCTTTATTTTAAAGAGATGGTTAAATTTACATAAATCAAAATATTTTCCGTCGTTAGCTCCAAACGCAGAGCATTGCTTTGTGACCATGAATGTTCCGTTTTGGTGTCAATGTTGATGGTTGTCCTGGATTAAACCATGGTTTTTTCGCTTTGGATTATCAAAATAAATTCACTTTTATCTCCAATTACAATTCGCCACAAAAAATCTTTTTTTTCTGTCTGGCAAGCAGAGATATGGCGATATTCAAACGATTTGCAATGGCGCTTTCACTCAATCTATATGGAACCCATTTGCTTTCCTTTTGAATTTTTCCCATGGCGTGTAGGCGCGTTTAGAAATTGTCGGTTTATCGGCGTTGAGTTGTTCAGCCAATCCGTTTGAGCGGTGTTTTCATTCAATAATGCTTGCAATTCAGAATCTTTGAATTTTTTTGACTGACCAATACTTTTGAACTGTTGAAAAACCGAAATTTACAGTTGGAATACGATGGAGTTTGATCACCATAAGTTGTAACAAACATTTCATAAGCTTTAGTTGCCGATTTTTTCAAATCAAACAAAAAAGGTAATGAATGTCGAAAATGCAGTTTTGTACGATCCATTTTAGACGCGCATAAACAATGAAACTATCGGTAACGATGTCGCGCAAACTGTCGCATATCATAGAGAAATGTCGAATCTTTCAGTGTCGCCAGATTGTAACACTTGTACTAATCATTTAACTTATTACTAAAGCCACCCATTGCCAGGGACCAGAACTATTATTCAATCTCCTAACAATATCGTGATGGTAGTAAACGCGCACCACAGTCGTTTTTTTAGTACAATGTTACTATATTTACAAAAGATGGGATTATAAATGGTACAAGTAATCACTCCTACACACGATACATGAAAAGTAATTACGTACAAGAGAGAAATGTTTCCGAGTAATAGAGTCATGATGCAATTTATACGTATATTAGAGGTATATTGACTATTCTTTTCCCTTCCGAGCTTATACAGAATATACTTTATACAATGTGCAAAAAAAGCCGCCGCGTGGCACGGACACGCGCGTCCCGTCGCATTAATTAAATACTAACAGCTAAGGTGTCGCATATGTATACAAAATTGACTCTGCACTTTTTTCTACATGTATGCATGCGCGTACACGCGTATACGCACACATATACAACGAAAAGAGACCTCCTCTGTCCTATATCATACAGAATTTCACGAGAGTCACACCTTACGACAAATGCTCGGCGCAGCGATTATTGTACACTCGTTTGCACGACGGCTCGCCGCCCACCTAGGACTTCGATACTCGCTCGGGTCTGACATCATCCGGATGTCTGATTGTTCGGATAGCGGATAAAATGCGACGCTTCGGACAGCCGAAGCACCGAATCCGCTGAACCGGATCCAAGTTCGCAGCAGAGTCGGCCAAAACAGGCGCGTTCGCAGCGCTCTCAATTCGCTCGCGACAATTCGACAACTGATGTGAAGCAACACTTCTCATCACCGCATCATCATACTCGGTTATTGCGCTTGGATAATTATTTCAGGTAATTTTGTTGTTGAATCGATTCGTCCTTTTATCTTTTTTTTTGAGCAAGTCCCACTTTGGATTAGAGTTTGATTTTTTATTACAGTCCGACTTGGATCCGAATAATTCAGATCATGCAAACAGCGCGACTTTGAGTTTCCGGATTGGAACCAATCTCGGCTATCTGGTTGAATACCCGAGTGCTTGGCAGCGCCGGCGGTTTGTATGTTCTTCCCGATCAAGTTGAACGGTAATTAGTTATTGCACGAATCCGAGTGATGATATATGACATTGCAACCGCGCGAAGGATTCGGGAGAGAAAGTGTTAGGGTCGGTTGTTCCAACTTCTTAAGTTAACCGATAGTTAACCGATAGTTAAATCACATGTTTGCCTTTGTTTTTTCCTTCAACCTAGACAAAGACAGATATGTGATTTAATTATCAGTCAACTTACCAAGAAGTTGGAGCAACCGGCTGTTGGTTCTTCAGCCGTCAGGTAAGATAGTGAAAGGCCAGCACTTGCATCGCCATTCGATTTCGGTCGGAGCCGATCACCACGCAATCGCAGCGGGAGAGCAGCGTTTCGAAGTCGCGTGCGTTTCGCGCGTAAACTTGTCGCGCAAACGAGTGTATGGCGTCACGTAGTACGATGTATGTTACAACTTTATACACATTAGAGGTATGAATGTGAGAATAGGAATAGATACTTCGTTAAATTAAGTACCGTCTCGCGTACGTGATAAGGATACTCTGCTCCGACATAAATAATATGTTTTTTTTTTCCTTTTTTACAACTCGTCGTCGTCGTCGTCGTGTGTGCGCGCGCGCGCGAAAGAGAGAGAGAGAGAGTGGTGGGTAAGATTGCAACGCGCAGAGATATCGAGAGCTCGCACAACACCCGCACAACAGTGAAATGCTGAGAAATATTACAATAAATAATAAATAAATCTTAGAGATTCGGTATCGCATTCGTAGACATATACACACTGCACGTACGTTATACAATATGATAAACGTAGAAAATAAATAGTGATATCTGAGAGAGGAAAGAAAGTTCCTTCGATTCTCGCTTCGCGATGAAGCGTCGTCGTCGTCATCGTCGTCGTCTTCTTCTCAGGATCTCGCGATTACATTTAGGAGACACGTCGCGTTCCTTATTAGTGGCAGTAACCTTTAGCTTTCTAGTTAAATGCTACCTACGGCAGGTATGTACAGTTGGGTGAACGCTTCTCTTCTCGTGTTCGGCGGACGTTTTACGGATACTACCACGACGAACAACGAACACACTGGGCACTTCGGTGTCTCGTTTTCAGAAACGCAGGCTAACCGCCCGCCTTCGTGAACGAAGTACGAGAGAACCACGTGGAATCCTCTTGCGCGCCTCTAGGTAAGTGTATAATCGAATGTGAAATTCACCCTGTCTTTATTACGGTGTAAAGCGCCAATTTAAATAAATTTATCTAGAACAAATTACTAAATTGGGATCTGTTGAACTTTACCGCACGCGTTGTCGCTCCCGCTCATCTCCGCTAAGCGCGTTCCAACGTGTTTAGCGGAGCTTCACGGTCGGAACGATTCTGCTTTCGCAGCAGAGCGTCCGAAAAGATGAGGAGCCGAGAGTATCGTGATCGGAAGAGGTACGCGGAGATAAGCTAAAACGCGCGAGATGAGGATGTTTCCTCAACGGCAGTTCTCACATAGCGCGAGGACGCATCGGCAGGGTCGCGTGTGTGCTGCTGTAATACTTTTCGTCCTTAAGGTCCGAGCAAGACAAGCGTGTTGCGTCGTTCACTCGAGAGGAAGAAGCGGTCGTCGGGTGAGAAGAGAGAAGGAGGAAGGAGAAGAGGGTCGGGGACGGTGAGGGGAATGGAGAACCTATTACCTATCCTAGTCAGCCTTCTGTGTGTTCCCGCTTTGCGTGGTACTTGAGCAGTAGCTGCCGGTCTCCCCGGTACTTGTTGTTAGTGTTTTGGGTTAGAGTCCGTATCCGGTTCAGGACTGGAGCTGGAAGACTCCCCAGCATTGACGTTCGCGTTGCAGCGCGAGCTCCTTCGGCTGCTGGTGCCCGTGTGCCGGCATTTTTCACTACGATCCACTCCACCTACAACAATTTCACGGGAAATTAACACATTTCACGGTTCGCACCGATCCGAGAGACAAAGAGCTGCTGCCGCTACAAAGAAGATCGAGGCCGATGCCGATCATGATGTATTCTCTGGGAGTAACAGCGCTTGAAATGCGGCAGCAAGATGCGGTAGCTTTCTTCCCTCCCAGCAAGTCACAGAGATTAATGGCCCATTACGGAGAAAACAAAAAAAGAAAAAAAAACAAAAACAAAAAAAAACATCGTCAGTCAAATTGAAGCAACTTGAAGGAGATTAACCTTTTTTCCGCGATACTCCGACTCTACCGTGTATCGAAGTTTTTTACATTTTTTAAGTCGAATTTTTTACGGCTTCTAGATGCCTGCCGCAGCCATATTGGACAGTGACGTTGGACGTTGAGGCGAGAAATAACACGCTGAATATTCCTGCGTGCCAATTCCGAATAAAAAGATATCTAAGATATGATACTTGAAGTCGTACTGGAGCTCGCTTGTACTAAAACGTTTCTAACACTATCGGTCTCTCATGATAATCAAGCAACAAGCATAAAATGATACTGTGATACGAGGCTAGTCATGCGCATGCGCAATCGTTCCGCGTGGCCACCCTCATATTACGATCATTTTACGCCTGTTGACTGACTCTCGCGGCGAGGCGGCAGGAGCGCCTGCCTCAACTCACACACATTGCCGACAAAGGCATAACGAAGCGTGTCGCTGCGAATAAATACTGAAGAAAAGAGGAAAAGACAACGTCTCGTCAACGGCTGACAGGCGGCGTCGCATTCGAATTCGTCCTTGAAGGGTTTAAATCCAAGCAACACGACGTGTATCTCTCTACGTCCTCACTCTATCTGACCGCGTGACGGCATGCGTGTTAGAAAAGCGCAATCTCGCGGATTAATCTCACATCTCACGTAGAAAATCGGCTTTGCATACTCACTGGTCAGCGGTGTGTGAACCTCGACCTTAATATTCGCCGTCGCGGTGACCTTAGTGGTGATGTGCGACGTGGACGGAACCGGCGACGTTTGACTAGACCCACTCGTGTCCGATCCGCTACAGTTCTGTTAGTCGAAAAGACAAAGGAGAACACGCTCTCGTTAGTCATGCTCGAATAGAAAAAAAAGGGGAGAGAAGCCGCGACGTTACACGCAGCTTCTTCCGGGCAACAGTCCTCCATGCGGATCGGCAAATCGATCGCACTCGTCCGCCAATCGAACTACCGCCGCTGACACACACCTGATTGCCGCACGTAGACGTGGTCTCCACCTTCACCTCCGGCTGGACGATGATGCAGGACTCCTGCGTGCTGTGCCACGAGTTGGGCTCCTCGGTGATGGTCGTGAGCGACGGCTCGGCGTGCAGCCGGGCGTTATCGATCCTGTGCGACCGCCTGGGCGGCGCAGGTGGCTTGGACCTCCTGACGACCGGCGACGGCGGCGGCGTCGGCGTGGATATGCGGTCCGGATGGTCGTTCGGCACCACCTCCGCCGACGGCCCGATCAGCGACAGCAGAATCGGGAAGAAGAAGATCCCGTTGACCAGGCCGATGCCGATCAGGCAGAGCAGCACGAGGAAGAAGTAATTCACTATGAAGTCGAACTCTGAGAAGGCGAGCATCGACACCGCGAGCAGCGTGGTGAGCGCGCCGTGGATCACGGGCGCGTACATGTGCTCCAGAGCCAAGCGCATCCTGCGGTCCCTGCTGCCCACGCTGGTGACGAAACTCTGGAAAGGATTCGTTCAGTGAGGACACGTGCTGGGAATTGGAAGTTACACGGACGCGCGAGAAAGAAATTACATGAAATTGAAAGTTACATCAAACACATGGGGAATAACAACCTTTACACAAGTTTTCACCAGTTGATACCAAGAATCCTATTTTTATGTTGGCATCTTCCGGTACTACGCAGCAACCAAAGAGAGAAAATAAAATGTAAGATATGAAATAGGCTCCTCAAGTTCTACGTGTGAAATATAATTAATTGTACTTGAAAACTCAGCCAATGGAGAGTCGACAAGATGAAAGATACATGCGTCTCGAATTACAATTTATCTATTCTCAGTAATTCAATCATCGGTCAACCGGTCGACGTCACGATTATCGGCAGAGAGAGAGAGAGAGAGAGAGAGAGAGAGAGAGAGAGAGAGAGGGAGAGGGAGAGGGAGAGAGAGAGGGAGAGGGAGAGGGAGAGGGAGAGGGAGAGGGAGAGGGAGAGGGAGAGGGAGAGGGAGAGGGAGAGGGAGAGGGAGAGGGAGAGGGAGAGGGAGAGGGAGAGGGAGAGGGAGAGGAGAGAGAGAGAGAGAGAGAGAGAGAGAGAGAGAGAGAGAGAGAGAGAGAGAGAGAGAGAGAGAGAGAGAGAGAGAGAGAGAGAGAGAGCAGCTCGATGAGCCACACTGGTTGTTGATTTTATCTACGGAAACCTCTAATGACAAGTCAATTTAACCAACGAAAAGCCCTCGTGAACGTGCACACACTCACTAGGCAAATGTGCACCGTGAAGTGAACAGCGATGCCCACGCTGACCACCAGTAGTACGGCCGGCACAGCGCTCAGCTTAATGTCGCACAGGCCCATAATGCCCAACAGCTGCAGAACAACGGCAGCCAAAGAGGAACCGACCATCAGGGCGGCCCACAGGTTCAACAACAGCACGCCAATCACCACCACGCTCGCACCCAGCGCGGCTAGGAGAGCGAAGCCCAAGCAGCTCCTCAGATCCATGTACTGCTCCCAGAAGAGGAATGGTATGCCGGACGGGAAGTTGGGTAAGCCGCGCTCTTCGAACTTCCGGCAGAGATTGCGCACGCTGGCGATCAGGTCGGTGATCTCCTGCGTGTCGGTGAGCTTGTGCAGGTAGAACGGCATCTGCGCGTACGTGAGCGGCATGCTCTTCGGGATCTTGAGCTCATGGTCGTTGGTGTAGAACCACTGACGGGGCTCGGGCCGAAGGTTCGCCTGGGAGGCGCCGTAGGCGATCGCGTCGTTGGACGCCCAGGCGCTCAGGTAATTGTAGAAGGCGCGCGGGTTGATGATGCCGTCGGAGTCGACGAGGCGCACCTGTGTGATCAGCGTCTTGTCGATGGGGTTGTCCACGTAGCCGGTCTGCACGAGCAGCTTGTACGCCAGGATCGCCTCGTCGCTGGCGTTCTGGTACCAGCGCTCCTGTGTGATGCAGCCGCTGCTGTAGTCCTTGTCGAAGGCCGTCTGCAGACCCTTGAGCCAGTCGCGGAAGAGGCCGAGCCAGAACTCCGGTAGGCCGCCGTTGTCGTTCTTGATGACGTTCTTGATCCTCACGAACGCGTCGTGGTACTCGTACAGCAGCCGCTGGTTGTTCGGGTACTCAAAGTCCCGCCCGGTCACCGCGTACATGTTGTAGAAACCAAAGTGCTTCGCCTGAGCGGCCAGGAACGCGTACTCGTTTGAGTTCTGCGGCACCAGGTCGGTTAGGTCGAGGCCGTCGCGCACGCGCAACGCTTGCCACATGCTGCCGGCCAACACGGCCGCTAAGACCAACATGCCGAACACCTTGGTGGCCGGTCTGCTGATGAAGGGCGCGTAATACCTCGCCGCGAGTTGCGTCAGCGAGAAGCTCAGGCAGTCGTCCTGCGAACAGCCGGTCAGCGCGTCTTCCTCGGTGCATTGCTTGTCCAACTCCACGTCGATGCTTCCACCTATCTGTAGCAGACGAGCGACAAGGGGGTGCTTGAGAAGCGTGGAATTCATACTCGTCGGACTCGACATTGAAAGATATTCATTAAGGTATTACGAATTTCGCTAGAAAGTTATCCGACAGCGGAAACGTAAAGAGCGGAAAGTTTCGTTCGAAGTTGAAGAGATTCACTTTTGCCGCGCGTTCGGAAAGCTACACCAATCGCCAAAGTCGCCGAGTTCTCGTCAAACTTTCGAGATAGTACACATGACGTTATCCTTACCCAGGACTCGTTCTGTGTGCTTTGCGACGTTAGGATCTGCGTGCAGGTCTCCCGTCGCTCAGGCGGTATCGCCCTGGTGACAGTCTGCTTGGCCATGCCGTTATTCGTGGAGTATCTGTTCTTGGCGGAGTTGGGCGCCGCCGGGAGGCAGCAGCAGAGAATGTCCGCCCGTCCGGAGCGCCTACGGCGCAGATCCAGGCTGACCATCGCGGGGAACACCAGCAGCATGGCGGCCAAATTGAACAGCAGCAGGATACCAGCCTGCAGGCAGAAGACTCGCAGAGCCGGGATCGGGATTAATGCCGCCGCGAAGAAGGCGGAGACATTGCTGAGGCCCGTCAGCAACACCGACAGGCCGGTTCTCTTCAGGACCACTCCGGTCTGCTCGCCACTGGGCACTTCGTTCACCGACAGCTCGGCGTACGTGTGTGTCAGCAGGAACATGTCGTGCACGCCCAGGCCGAGCGCGAGAAACGGCACTATTTGCGTCGTCGCGGCGTTGAACGGAATTCCCAGGAGCGCGCAGAAGCCCAGCCCGGCGGCCACCGTGGCGCAGACCAGCATCACGCCGGCGATCGCCACCCCGGCCTGCGAGCGCACCGGATCCTTCCAACGAAGGAGCGCTACTCCCGCGTACACTAGCTGGAAGGAGAGAGAAATGTGTATGTAATTATTACCTGCTATAATTACCTGCAGATCTTGAGATTGTTCTCAATTTATTTTATTAATATTAATATTGCATTTCTCTAATAAAGTTGCGAAGATTAATTTTATCTTAAAATAAAATGAAATTATTAAAATCATTATCAAACCAAATACTATTATTAAAATAAAAAAAAACAATTGTAATAAAATAATTACATGTGCACACACACACACACACACACACACACACACACACACACGTAATTATTTTCCTCGACCAAATTAATTTAATTCTTTATTAATCTACTAATTTATTTAATTTAATTTGTTGAAGTAACAATAATTATTTTACTAGATATATTATACCTTGGATATTTCCGACCTACAAATTTGCATAATAACTAATTAATCAATTGCAAGAATGGTCCTACCATGAGCACGCATCCGATGACGATCTTCATAACAGACACCTCGCTGTACTTCCCGAGTATGTCGTTCATCGTAGTCGTGCTGAAGGCATACAGATTGTAGGGAGTCGATCCATTGGCATCCAGCACCTTCTTCACCTCGTTGCTGAACGCTCGCTGCCACGTCTCCAGCACCTGGGCGGCCTTCTCCTGCGACCAATCTATGTGATGAACCTTGTAGGTGTTCGCCAGGAAATCGTACAGCTCCCGTTCTCCCATCAACTGCACCACAGTCTGCAAGGCGGCCGCCCGAGTCAAGTGGCCAGTTTTATTGTGCTTCGCGCCGCCGACCACCAGCTCTTCGGGCCAGTGCATGTACTTAGCGGCGAATCCATAGCAGCCCCCTGTCAGTTCAGCTCCTACGTCGGGTACCTGTCGAAGAGAAGGAGTGACGAAGTTGAAAATCGGATGAAATCCGGACCGGATCAGGTCCAGGCGAAGTTGATGAGCGAATGGAGTCCAAAAGTAAAAGGACTACTTGGACAAACTAAGGGCAACCAAGTAACAACATCAACAACGCAAGCCTTATGATCGATAATAAGATCCCAAAACCTTGTTGTTTGTTCAGCTGTCGCATTTTCCTTCACGCGATTAGGCAATGGAACGTCCATTTTCACTCGAGTAAAAATCACGAGAGAAAGCAGCTAATCTCATCACCTTGTCAACAGTTCGACACAAAAAGGTCACTTTACTTTTCGACCTCTTCTTGTATATGAGAGCCAATTATATCGCCGTTTCGTCTTCACGCGTGACTTTCATTTTGGACGACAACGTGGAACGATAAATATCGTAGCTACGCTATTATCGCGGCGATAATAAGACAACGATTTCCTGCGTGGAAAAAAGTGGGATAAGAAAGCCGCCCCCTATCTACCTCTCTCTCTCTCTCTCTCTCTCTCTCTCTCTCTCTCTCTCTCTCTCTCTCTCTCTCTCTCTCTCTCACTCTCTCTATCCGTCACCTCAGCGATCGTCGCCTCTCACCCTTCCGCGCATTTTGTTTTTCACCCGTGAGTTTTTCAAGCGTGACCAAAGGCAGAACCGTGTCAAGTCACGCCAGGAATTCCAGCGGCAAAGAATTATTACAGGTGGTTCGAGCGACGTTCTTTCTTACGGGGTAGCCGAGGGTGTCGTAGACCCCACAGCGAGAGATTTTATGGGGCTCTATATAAAAGAGCACACCGGCCCCCGTGACTCCGGGCTTTGAATCTAACCACTTGAGGCACTGTCCTTTATATCGCGCGAGGATAAACGAGAAATCCCCGCGGCGCAATGAGGAATAGAACGGCTCATCGGCGGGATTATTGTTACGGGCGTATATCTCGGGCGAATCTTTCGGTTTCCGCTTACTGCGTCGTTACGTTAAACGCGTAAACGTCGCGGAGAGGAGGATCGATCGAATGCGCGCGATAAAGCCGCGCCGCGGCTGCTATTCATTTCAATCGCGTAAGGTAAACGTCCCAGTAACCGGACGTTGAAGCGTCGGTCGTCACAAAAAATACAATATAATATTAAGAATAGTTTTGACATAAATATTTGCATTTATTATTCGAAAACTCAAGATTCCCTTAAGTAGAGAAGAATTGTTCACTCAAAGAACTCAAAGAAAAATATTCTATTTGTAAGGTGATTCTTCTCATAGTCTCATATTCTAAGCGAAACCTTTTACAGAAAAAGGATTCCTCTTTCGATAAAGCGATTCGAAAGTGAAGCATTTATCGAAAATTTATTAGATATTATTCTAACTGTTTTCCTCTTGTTTCAAGAGGATTTTCTCTTATAATTTTCTCAATTAATTTCTCTCTTATATGAAGAGGAATATGTTGATTTGAATGTCGGTTTCTTTTGTTCAGTCATGCTCTACCTCCAGACATAAACAAAAAAATAACACGCAAATTGGAACGCTTTTTAAAAAGAATATGTTTGTTGCTGTAAAATATAACGAAGATAACTTAGCCATATTTGGTCAAATACAATTTATAATCTATTGCAAGAAGTTGAATAATATATTCTTTCTTTTAACTATGTTTTATACAATTGGTTATGATGAACATCTTTGTAGCTCACGAAGTTCATAACAAAACTGATTGAAAATTTATTTGTTATGATGATCTTATTTCATTCGTGCTTACTTATTGTAGAACTGGAGCCGGAAGTACATATATATATATATATATATTACTTTTCGCTATACATTATAACAATTTTTTTCAAATTAACTTAGTATAACCAATGAGAATAAAGTACAGAAAGAATAAATAATAACCCTTTTAAAAAAAGATTAAATAATCTGTGTATAAGAGGAAATTTATGTTAAAATCAATCAGATTTGCATTATATATGTAACATATGATCTCTCTAACTTTAAGAATATAATGTGTTTATAATATTTTCCTCTTAATCTTAGAGGAATCCTCTTGAGGCCATATGTAAGAATAAAATTTTCTCTAAAATTTAGATGACTCCGCTTGTTTTGAAATTACTTTTTTTTTTGGGTGTTTAAACCAATGTATATGTCTATTATTAATGAAATTCTTATACAAGTAATGAAGCGCATTAATGTAGCAGTGACCGGGCAGTTGAAACAGGTTGCAGTCCAATGTTCGGATATAATTTGTTCCAGTGTCTGACCGCAATTTGAAAATTAGCATGTGCTAACGGGAAATAATATAAATCTAGATGCTATCTCTTAATGCATTTATTAACGATTGACCTTCATTTTGCCAAACTATAGGTGCATATTTATTTAATTAATTTTTATTTTAACACAAAATCATCAAATTGGCTATATCTTTTTCCAACTAATCGTCAATATATTGTAGTTTCTTTCTCACATTAATTATTACTTTCATTTATTATTGTTAAAATAAGTAGTAAATATCTTTTTTTCAAAGTGATCGGACACTGGGACGCTTATCTTAATGATGAAACAGATAAAACGGCGGATGCCGCCGCGCGGGCATAGAAAACTCGAACTACGCAAAGTGAGCGAAACGTTCAGCGCTATCAGCGCGTAAGAACAAGATCAGCCGAGAGGAAAATCTACAAAATAAACGAAGCGACGAATGCTAGGAGCGCAGACCATGAGAAAGAAGGTGAGCAAAAAGAAAGGATCCCAAGTCGCAAGACATTCCGACAAGTCCAATCGAGTCGAAGGCACGTCACACTGAACATCGCTGCATCAGAAGCGTACAGGCCCAGGTATATAACGCAAAGCCATACCAAATAAAGCCACCGCCGCGATCGAGCGCGCGCGATCCCCGATTGCACGCGTGATTCAAATCGGACGCCTCGCACCTGGCCCGGCTTGTGATGTAATTCCACGAACGAGCCCGTAGAATACAATCGGGTCACGCTGGCCGCGCTTTTCGCGCTTCTGCGAGCGACGCGGTGAATCTAAGGAGACGAAAGGGCGGCGGCGGCAGCAGCCCCGCCCCCGTCGCTGGAAGAAAGGCCACTTGAAACGCATCTGGTGGAGAAATTTTTCATCGGACAATATATCACCTTCCTCTCGCGCAGTCTCGGCGAGAACGAGTCGATATCTCCTACTCGATACGAATGAAACTTCCAAATCAACCGATTCAAGTATGGAAGTTACTAACAAAGAAGAAAAATAACACAAAAGGGAAATATCTATTTTACGGCTCTGATAATTCAACGGGGCAGATTGTGCTGTATTCACTAAGAGTTAAAAAAGAAATAAATAAATAATTGAACAGTGACATAGAACTCGGCTTGCAAGAACCGCTGTTGCGTTGCTGCGTCGAGCAATAATTAGCTTCCTCGATTGCAAACGCGATACATCTTCGGGTAGCAGCGATTATTTTGCCGAAAGAAAAAGTCACGCGCTTGAACATCCCAGAGACTCACTACGGCTTTCGTTAAAGTTCCTACAAAGAGAAGCGTTTTACAATCTTGCCGCCGCTGATTGCACAATTCCGGTACCCGTTCCAGAATCAAACTGCCGATCAGCTCGGCCCGCCACACTCCGAAAACCACACTCTCAATATTTCGAGACTTGCGTACGTGCCGTCGCGTGGCCACTGAGCGCGTGTACCTGTTTGCGAAAATAGGCGTGAGAGAGCGGGAGAGAGAGAGAGAGAGGGGGAGGGAGAGAGAAAGGGAAAGAAAGAGAAGAAAGCCGAGGCGAGCGGCTCGTCAATGTTAATGCACAAACGCACACGCAAAAAAAGTGTTCTATTTGTAAAGTGATTTTTCCCATAGCCTCATGTTCTAAGCGAAACGTTTTACAGAAAAAGGATTCCTCTTTCGATAAAGCGATTAAAGTGAAGTAACCATTCATCTAAAATTGATCAGATATTATTCTAACTGTTTTCCTCTTATACCAATTAATTTTTCTCCTATATGAAGATAAATATGTTGATTTGTTCAGTCTTGCTCTACTTTCAGACATGAACGAAAAAATAACCATCCGTTCATGGGCCAGAATATTTAGAACGCTTTTTAAAAAAAGTATGTGTGTTGCTGTAACACATAACGAAGGTAATTTTTATCCATATTTGGTCAAGTGCAGTTTGTAATCTATCGCGAGAAGTTGAATAATATATTCTTTCTTTTAAAACTGTGTTTTATACAAAAAACATGGTTATGATGGACATCTTTGTAGCTACGAAATAACAAAACTGATTGGAAACTTATTTGTTATGATGATCTTGTTTCATTCGTGCCTATTTATTGCAGAAGCCAGAAGTACATTTATATATATATATATATATTATTTTTCGCTATATACATTATAATAATTTTTTCAAATTAACCAGTAAAACCAGTAAGAATAAAGTAAAACAATAAGAACAATAAAAAAAGATTAAATAATCTGAGGTATATTTATATTAAGAGGAAATTTATATTAAAATCAATAAGATTTGCATTATACACATAACATACAATCCCTCTAGCTACAAGAATAACGTATTTATTAGAGATGTGCGAACTATTCGAATTCGAATCGAATCGAATCGAATCTAATGTAATTCGATTCGATTCGAATCTGAATCCCTATGATTCGAATCCGAATAATTCGAAAATTTCGAATCGAAGATTCAATTACGAATCAAATATATCATATTAGCGTGCATTATATTTGCATGCATCAAGTACAAAATGAGACATCTAAGCCTGTATGTTTGAACCCTTAACTTGTAATTAACTTAACTTATAATTACTAACTTAATTATAAATTACTTTAAATATTTAAATATATATTTTACTTTAAGATGATATTACAATATCAATATCCCCTTTCATATTAAAACCTTCCATCATTATGTGCATGTTTAATAGTCATGTTAAACTTTTTAATGATTCGATTCGAATTCGAATGAAATTTCATAGATTCGATTCGATTCGAATTCGAATTAAAAAAATGAGATTCGATTCGATTCGACAGAAAAATTCTTGATTCGCACATCTCTAGTATTTATAATATTTTCCTCTTAATCTCAGAGGAATCCTCTTGAGTACCATGTGTACAAGAACAGAATCCTCTAAAATTTAAATGATTCCGCTTGTTCGGAGGTTACCTTTTTTTCGATGCACGTCGCAGCGCGGCGATGCGATTCACGTTACGCACGTGTCCGGCGGGAGTGTATCTTCGGTACGCCGGCCGCGCGTATGTTAATGACACCGAAATGACGGCGGCGGCCCGCGTAATACGATGCGCGCCGCGCGCGCGCTCGCGACCACCGGCGAAGCGCAATAATGACGCACGTCGGTCGATTTTATTATTTTAATGGGCCGCCGTGCCGCGCGGCCCACGCGACTCGCATACTCATCGAGCGTTTCGCGCACGATTCGTGCGCGCTTTCGCACGCGTCCGTCCGTCCCTTCGTGCGCGGCTCCTCATTGAGAAGTCTACTCTCTCCCCCTCCTCTTCCTCCTCCTCTTAGCCTTCTCTATATCTCTCTCTCTCTCTCTCTCTCTCTCTCTCTCGCTCTCTCTCTCCTCGCCCGCTCTTATCTCACCATCGCACGGAAGCCATTGACGTCGACGCAGGTGACTTTCGTTTCAATGAGACCCGAGACGGAGGAGAAGGGGCAAGTGAAATTCAAAGTTTCCCGATCGAGCGGTGAAATATTCATTCCGTCGTCGACGGGAGGACACACGGACGGAACATCAAAGCGATGTCGACGCGCTTCGCGCCGGCTCGCGTATACACGCTGCGCGCGCGCGTAACCGGTCATCGTGTCCGCCGAAGGATTCCAAATGATCACTCGTTATTCCCGGCGCATAGCGAGAGAGCCCCGCCGACGGCGACGGTGCGCGAATGTCGCCCGGTGACGATACCGCGCGGTATATCGTCGTCGTCCTCCTCGTCGCTCTCCTCCCGTGTGATCGGTGCTGAGTATCGGAACTCGCGTGGACGTCGGCTCGTTTTTTCCGCGGATCCGCGCGAACGTTTGACGGACTCACCGTCGAAGGTGCTCACCGAGTCGACGTCAACGATCGCTGCAAACGTTGCGCAATCGCCGAGAGCGATCTCGGACGAACGAGTCGCCGGGAAGGCGAAATCAGTCGGGCTTTTCGCGAGGCCGTCGGCCGCGAAAAATCCACGCTTGCGACGGCTTGCGATTTTTATCGACGGCCGAATTGAGCGACTGCGAGAGAGAGAGAGAGAGAGAGAGAGAGAGAGAGAGAGAGAGAGAGAGAGAGAGAGAGAGAGAGAGAGAGAGAGAGAGAGAGAGAGAGAGAGCTCTCATTTCGGCCGAGAGAACGAACGCCGGCGGAGATTTTACCTGTTGGGTTTTTTTGTTAGGCGCGGTTTCTGGGCATTCCGGATCCGCCGGATTCAGACACGGCTTGCCCTGATAGCCATTCGTTATTCCGGCCCTCTTCATGTAGTCCTCGAGCGTTTTAAAGGGAAACGCGAACTGCAACTTCTTCATCTCGTCCAGCATACTGGAAGGATTCAGGTTCGTCCATTGGACGGGTTTGTTGTACGCTCCACTGCTTAACCGAAAGAGAAATCTAAATGATTTCATTGGGCATTAACCATGTGCGAGAGGACCGAGACATGTAATTAGATATGATTAGACCGCGACAATTAACCCACCGAGAGCCGCCACGGTCGTTCCGCGAACGTCCGCGCAAAATAAAGCGCATCCGTTCGCGTTTATTTTTCGTTATTATTGCAATCATCGTCCTTATCGCGCGAGATAAAAAATTTGGCGCTGAGGGCAAAAGAGAAGAAAATTATCCTTCCCGGTCACTTTGTGCAGACAGAAACGTCCGATAAAAACGGGACCCCGATTTCTTCGTGGGTTAAATGTCGGACGAATCGAGCGATCGTCGATGAAGAATCAGCGCAGAGAGAGAGAGAGAGAGAGAGAGAGAGAGAGAGAGAGAGAGAGAGAGAGAGAGAGAGGGAGAGAGAGAGAGAGAGAGAGAGAGAGAGAGTGAGAGTGAGAGAGAGTGAGAGAGAGAGAGAGAGAGAGAGAGAGAGAGAGAGAGAGAGAGAGAGAGAGAGAGAGAGAGAGAGAGAGAGAGAGAGAGAGAGAGAGAGAGAGAGAGAGAGAGGAGAGAGAGAGAGAGAGAGAGAGAGAGAGAGAGTCGATCGGAAATACTCACGGTATATGAACAGGATATTCCGGACCCAAAAGTTGGCTACCTTCCCAAAAACAGTCGAGGGGCGTGATGATGGCGCACGGTATAATACTGTCGAAAATCTGCAAACGAAAAGAAGAAGGAGAGATGAATCTGCATTCTTCCGGGAACGAGCGTAAGAAGCGCGCCTTCGTAGTTAGTGCTTTTTCGATTACCGCTACCGCTATTATTACCGCCACTACTATTTTACAGGAAATATTCCGTGTAATGCGCGCGCGCGCGTGCGTGCGTGCGTGCGTGCGCGTATGTGTGTGTATGTGTGCGCGCGCAAAAGGGAGCAACCGCGAGAGGGAATCGCCGCGCGTACAGACCGGTATTTACGGTGCGCAACACGCGTTTGCGTATAATGACGACGGAGGAGGAGGAGGAGGAGGAGGAGGAGGAGGAGGAGGAGGAGGAGGGGGGAGGAGGAGGAGGAGGAGGAGCGGCCGGACCACACCTGACACGGTGCGTCCGTACCGCAACGGGACACCGCGCGCCGCGTCATTACCGACGCTAATTGCTCGTTCCCGGCCCTTCGCCCTTCGTAACCTCGCCCCGCGCCGTATGCAACCGATACGGTGCGTGCACGGCCGCGCGCGCGCGCTTGCATACGTAAAGGCGCATTTGCATCTCGAGAGTGGATCGAGCGAGTGATCTCTCCTCGAGTGCGCGCATATTTCCCGATGCACTTCCGCCGTTCGATCACCCAAGCTCTTCGCACTTTTGTCGAGTCGAGTCGTTGATCCTCTTCCTTTCCTTCTAATAACTCGAGTGTGCGGAATCGAGCTTTAGCACTTTTTTTTTCCGGAGAGACGGAAAATTTACGGAGGAGAAGCGCTGCGGCTTCCGCGGCCGCCGCGCGTTGTTGCGTATCTCTTTTTTTCATGCACTTTTCTTTTGCTACAACTAGCTCGTCGTTGGAATTGGTGATAATGTTTTGCCATTATCTCGGCTTATTCATCCACTCGTTTCCACTTCGACTTGAGAAGATCAGCGCACGGATCACAGCGGAGAATTATTTTACGAGCGACAAAGAGGAGAACCTGTTTCAAGGAACACGCATTATACGTACGACAAGATTGCCTTTCAATTAGCATTCGGGCGAATATACTCCGGCGGGCTCGAGTGTTTGAACTACGTCTAGATGCAAGAGGTGTAATCTAAGATAATCTTATCCCGAAGTCGGATGCGAGCCGCGCGAGAGAGTTACGAAAGAACGCGGTGCGCGCGGACCGCCCTATTCGAGTTTCCTGGAACCCGAAGGTGGGCTCTCGTAATGGCCTAGTACCCAGAAAAAGCGTGTGACGATCGTTAATGTCGGCGTCCGGGTATTAGTCGGATAAAATTTTGTTTACCGCCGTATACAAAGTAATCTTCGCTCGTCCTCGCATTCTTTTTGCCGCGGTAAGCAAAACCACTTTATCTCGCGACCGAGTGAAGCATATTTCTTCGAATCTCAGAGTTGCAGCTGCACGACGATTGCTCGGCGAATGCAAAAATAATGACGTATACAGGAAGAGACGAGACTGGATAAGGAGAGAAGAAGTCAGATTTCTCGGCGGTTTCGCGAATTTTCTTGCATACAAATTTAGTCGATGATTGGAAGTCAACAAGACTGAAGCAAGTAATTTTGTTGCGACATGTAACATAGATGTTCCTTCAATTTTCAAGAATTTGATCCAACTGCACAATACGAGTAATTTTATTTCTGGTGCCACAATAATGTGTTGGATCAGTTTTACAGTCAACTCGTTGAAAACAATTTAATCACATATTTAAAAAATTTATCTAAATTTGAATATCAACTAAAAACTGAACTAAATTCCGAGTTTCCGCAAGGACCAGTCAAATTTTGCTAAAAAAAAAATTGACTCGAATTAAACAAATTTATTTCGACTGCTCTTTTCTTATAATATATATGTTAACTTGTTGACCTTTGGAAAAACTATCGAGTTAACAAAAGTTAGGGCACTATTGTAACAGTATATCCTTGAGACCAAATAGAGTAGAAAAGTCTAGTAGCATTTTCTCTTCCGATAAATAATTACCGAGATATCGCAAGCTAAATCATGAAAAAGTTAGCAAATTTTCCTTAAATATCTCAAAAAATATTAGGCAAATAAAAAAATGTTTCAGACAATAGTTGTCCGTATTAATCGGTAGAAAAAGATGATGTAATAAAAAGTTGGAGTTTTCACTTAAGAAAAGTAATGATCAATAAATATTTCGAAAGTGGCGCCACCTGTAAACAAAATGGTATACTTGTTTTATGTCCCCCTTGAAACCATACAACTTTCGTTTGAAACATTTTTTTCTGAAATATCTTATTTTCGAAATATTTTACCGGTCTGGGACTTTTTGGGCACCCTGTATATATAGTATATAGAAAAAGACAAAATTGTACACGTAATACACATACATGTATTTCACGACAGTCGATTTCAAAGTCGAATACCCTCTCGAGTAGCTGTAATCGCACAGAATCCTGCTCTCCTCTCTCTTTCTCTCTCTTTCGCGTGAGCATTCGTAGACAGCCGCGTTCTTGGCCGTGAATACGTTTCGACAGTGCGTAAAAAAAAAGCAGACTCTGGTGCGAAACACGTTTATAATGGCCCGGAAGCGGCCGGTCCCGGGCATCGCTCGCGAGGAGATCTCGAGAAATCATGTTTTTCTTCTCGAAATGCTCACGAGGCTTACCGCGTTTCTCTAACGCGCCCGCTCGTTTGCTCGCCGCGCGAGCGATTACTCACAGATGCATACACAAATTGCACATGCTGCTTCGTAATAATACCGACGACAGTCATCGGTCGCCTCAGATTTTCTGTTTACAGTCCACTCCGGCAATATCAAATTCAGACGCTGAAGAGTCTCGCATTGAAGATTGGAACTTGACCAATCGGGACAAAGCGAAGCAACATCAAGTATCTGTCAAATTAGCCGAACTTTAACCTCTGATTTCTAACGTCAATTAAATCTCGATCCGAGCTTAAGCTTTGCCCGAAAAGTTTCAAACTCAAATTGAGATTTAACCCTTTGGTTTTAGTTTTAACTCGGGTGTCCCCTCTGAGGAGACTTTATTAGTGATTATAAACTTATACGAGCGCAAATTTTCCAAAAATACATGTTTTCTTGATGATACGGTGCCATTTGAGAAGAGATAAGCAAACCTTGGACTGTGAGCCTGAGAGAAAGAGACTTTCAAAGCTGAAGCAGATCGTATTGAATCGAGCGGCACAGATCGTTACCTGCTTACTAAGCCATAAAAGTAGAATTGGAAAAATAATATTCTTTTAATAAATTTCACTTTGTGATTTCGTAATTTATAGTTGGAAATCTCGGACTCATTTATTTAGTTTACAGACCAATGGCAAAACGAACCTGCAATGCATATCGGTGATCGGTTTCACACACGTTAGAAAAAAATAAAAGATATAAAATTTTTATTTTTTTGTCATAAATATGTTCCTCGATGTCTAAAGATTCATATAAATCAAATATCATTGCGATAAATTACTTGGCTTAAAAACTACACTATTTAATATGACGCGATTCCTTTGCACGTTTGCACGTTTTTCTAAAAAGGGTGCCGCCGAGCTGTGGATAAGTAGTCCGCGAAATAACTCCAAGTGCGAAGGATTAATCGACGTTAGAAGCGTCGCCATAATCCGCCGTCTTTAGTCTCCGGAGAATCTGAATCCGGTCCCAGTCTAAAGCCCGTATCAGACTACGGGGATTCGGACCGAGTATTGCATTGCAATTTCACCAATCAGGGGCTAAGTTTACTCAATTTTGACATTATTTCCCTTTTTCCGCTTGGTCAAATTTCAATCCAATCTCAATCCCAATCCATAGTCTGATACGGGCTTAAACGAGAGCTTCGTCACGGATCGATACATTTTACTCGTCGCTCCTCGCTAGTCGACATCGACCAACAATAACGGCCACTTATCATCCGGAGTTAACGGACACGTGCGCGCATGTGTCACGTGCGCGCATCGATGTCTCCGCTAGAGAGGTCTAATGGCAGCGAGGAGGAGCGGTGCGTAACACGCGCGCGCGCGCGCCATTCATACGGCGTGCGCTCGCGCGCACGTGCATGCATGCCTCTCTCTCTCTCTCTCTCTCTCTCTCTCTCTCTCTCTCTCTCTCTCTCTCTCTCTCTCTCTCTCTCTCTCTCTCTCTCTCTCTCCCTCTCTCTCTCTCGAGTGCGCGTATGCGCGCGTTTCAATTACCTGGTCGATGTAGTGCAGATCGAAGTTGGGTATGCTCGGCGCGTAACACAAGTCCTTCAGTCTCCACGTGCTGCAAATGACAGAAACGTACACGTCAGCGTGAAAACTCGCGCGTCGCCGTTATAAACGTATTTTTCTGTCGGGACTGTTTGCCTTCTGAGTGTCTTACAATGAAATTCCGCGGTCGAAGCGACCGCGAAGATAAATCGCGCACGATTGAGAGTTCGGCTGTCAAACATTCCGAGCGCGGGCGAATCCGACGGGTGAAGCACAACACGTGAGATTCGCTCTTCAACGCTCGACTAGCGATATTCACTCGACGCTGCGGAATGGAGAATTGGCTCCGCGCGAGTGAATCCTCCTACTCGACTTCGAGCGACTCTCTCTCTCTCTCTCTCTCTCTCTCTCTCTCTCTCTCTCTCTCTCTCTCTCTCTCTCTCTCTCTCTCTCTGCTGTATCACCGCGCCTTCTCGAGCGGAATTTCACTGGAAGAAACTTCACTTGGCCGGAACCACCGACGATTAACGCGATTCGTCTCTACCGAAGCGATCAAAGTGACAGGATTTTTTTCCAAACGGCACGTTAATCGAAATGTGCTTATTTGTTAGGTTGGTGCAAAGATAATTGCGGTTTTTACGTATCGAGTACAAAGACGCGTGTATCAGTTAAAAATTACACCCAAAAAAAAAAGGAATTCTATTTGTGAAGTGATTTTTTCCACAGTCTCATATTCTAAGCGAAGTCTTTTACAGAAAAAGAATTCCTCTTTCGATAAAGCGATTAGAATGAACCATTCATCCAAAATTTATTAGATATTATTCCGTTTTTCTCTTATTTCAAGAAGATTTTCCTCTTATATCAATTAATCTTCCTCTTATATCAAGAGGAACGTTTGTCGGAGTTTTCCCTCTTCCATCTATTCATACAGAAACATTCTCTCTGTGCGTATGACGATCGTCGCCACGTTTGTTTTATGGGCAACGTCTAGAGCAAAGGAACCAAGCAGAGAGATCGTTGTTCTGTTTGTGTAATTTTTCCCGATTATTTCGTCATGAACGAAGTTGAAGAACTTTTGGAGAAGATAAACTTAAAGACATACTGGCTCATATTTCAGCGTTAAGTACGTACATATATCCATTTATCATATTGCGTTGCATACTACATTAAATGCCTAATTGACTTTTAGAGTACTTAAAATTACAAATTTATGTTTTTTCCTACTTTTTCAGCAGAGAGCCGAAAAAAATTTAACTAGTTCTTCTCCCCTTTCCTTATAAAGGAACGTACAATCAGTAAGAATAAAGCACAATAAGAATAAATAATAATCCTCTCAAGAAAAGATTCAATAATCTGTGTATAAGAGAAAATTTATTATTAAGATCAATAAAGATTTGTATTATACATATAACATATAATAAACTCGTCTAACATTAAGAACAATATATTTATATTTTCCCTTAATTTTAAAGGAATCCTCTTGAGGCCATACATAAGAACAAAATCCTCAAAAATGTAGGCGATTCCGCTAGTTCTGAAATTACTTTTCTTGGGGGTGAGTTATATTTATTAATCAAAATGAATGACCATTGGCCCGCACACAACGTTTTCCCAACGGGAAACAAGTTTGTTTATTCCTACAAAATAGAATAGGAAGGAAGAGATAACGATAGCCAGAAAAATCGACGCCAAACTTGAAATGATAAAAACCGCAATTATCTTTGCACCAATCTGATATTTTTTTAGTTTTATCCCCCGTCCACAAGAAATGCAAGACATATTGTTTTCTAGATCAGAGCAGCGTTTTTGATGAGAAATCAAAAACTAGTCATCACCGCTTGCGTGGCAGCTCGCGTTAAAGTCGAGATGCAGAAGAGGTCGTCGAGGCTCGGACGCATTTTTCCCGACGCTGGCACGCGAGCATTCGCGCATCCTAGGGTTCACATCAGCATCGTCGTTTCGTTGAGTAATCGAATTGCATCTTAATTGGCCCGGTTTTCCAATTAAACAAGGACGCGTACGGGCGGAATCGATACTCCTTTTCGCCGTATTCAAATGAGAGAAGAAGCCGCGGAGAGGCAGGCAGAGGTAGGTAGAGTCATCGGCGACGGAGAACACTTACATCTCGAACAGGTGCACCTGAACCTGCGTCGCAGCCTTCAGGACCGTCAAATGTTCCCTGAGCGCGGTCGGGTGCAGTATATTCGCCCCGGAATGCCTCGGCGTCTGGATGACGAGCTGGTGCGTCGATGCGGCGGCTTCGCCGAGGGCCTCCGAGGCGTAGGTCAGCTCTTTCTGTAACCTTCCGCCTTCTGCAACAGGTCGAATTGCGAGCGAGCGATTAGTTGGCGCGCCGATAATCGGGTCGTTAAAGAAGTTGCGAGGGTTGCTGTAACGCGTGTTCGGACGATTCCAAACATTCGCTTTCGAAACGCCCGGCTTGTCAACAATGGTCGACAGACGATCCTTTCGCCTCTGATCCTGTTGCACTTTTCTCTAACACGCTAATACCGCCGACGGGTTTCTATCGGAGCGGTCGGGACGACGGAGCTGTTTGAAAAAGAAAGAAAAAAAAATATGCAAGAGCAAAATACTTATTTCTTCCACATTGAAAATCAGACCCCCATCGTTCTGTTCGAGTTTGAGCGAGAAATTGAGCCAGCCGTTGGGTCGTCTTGGATCGTTTCGGTAACACTAATTTGTTAAGGGGGAAATTACACGCGGAAGGCTGTTCCCAAGGCTATCCTTACGATTTTTTGAAATAGAAACGATAAGATTAATGGACTTGAAAATTTCACAGTGTATTCATTAATGTTCAAAGTATAAAATAAATTGTATTGAATCACAAGAACCGATCCAATTTGTAATTATAGATGAAAACGCAGTCGTTCGTTTGCGAGCTCTATATTTGCTCGACGTAATTCCGAACTTTTCACACACTATTCTAAAACCAAAATATGAGAAAGATTTTTAAAATATACGATTGCCATTGTAGCCCGTATTACCAAAATGAAGGCAGTGAAGTCAAATTTGGAAAAATAATGACTGTAGAAAAAAAAAGTATCGAAAATGAAACTTTCTTCAATTTGTAATCATATTTAAAAGAAATGAATAAAAATGCAAACGGTTGAATTGTATAAAACTTGAGTAGAACAAACCAGAACTACTGTCAGAAATGCAGTAAGTCGACGGCGCGACACATTTTCAGCGATCAGTCGTGCTGGGGCGCCAAAGGTTAAAATTAATTTAAAAATAAATAGAAAAGAAACCTGCTTCGCATGTAATTCCCTTAACCCCCCTTTAACGCCTACTGGCTATAACTATAGTTACCAGAAACGCATTTAAGAATCCATAATTTAGTGAAAAAAGGAGATATTTTCGTTTGCTTTGCACCACTGTAAAGGTGAATTCTTCTTCTAAAAAGTGGTATACAGATTGTGTGCAGATTCGGTTTAGTCTGTTTTTAGCTCAGTTTTAATCATAACATGTTTCGTCAAATTCCAAGTAGGCATAGTTAGCATTGTTACTGACATCTAGAAGTGCGCTATAAATGAATAGATTGGTATCTGTTACAATTTCATACATTTCGAAGCTTTCTCAGATGCAAAGTGTGAAATTAAAAGAAATTCAAAATGGCGAATCCAATATGGTGGACACGAAGATCGAGAAATCAAGCTATTTTCGTGAAACCTGGTGACCTACAGCGCTTTTTCTGCGGCGAAAAATGAAGGGACGATTGACTATCTAAATGGTGATCTATAAGATATTCTTTTGAAATAGTAAGCTTGACGCTCTGAATGATAAACTTCACTCACAAATATAGTAAAGTTTCATCTCAAAAATGTCAAGCTGACTACCAGAGTTATGTCGTATGTATTATAGATTACCCTTCATTTTTCTCTCTGTATAGGTTGCTCATTTCGTATATCCTTTTAGGATCCAAGTGATATTTACCAATAAACAAAAAACGAACGATAAAAAAAAGACCAATAAAAAATTCTGATATTTTTTTTGGTTATCACTACTCTCAAAATCTCGGTTCAAAAAAATTCAAATTTTATTCTTGAAACACTTATAGAAAGATCAGCGTTAAAGGGTTAATAGAAAATCCCGAAGTTCTGCTCTTCCTCTCGATAGGAAGACTAACGAGTGAAAGAAGGACTTCGCAAAGATTTCACGTACTCCTTTGAGCACTTCGAGCCTTCTGACCAGCCGAGTCCGCGAGATCATCGGGATTCCCCGAAGGGAAACACCGATCGATCTCGCGGCGCAACGCAGCACACCCGCGTCTTCAAAGCGGCCCGAGTTCCCGGCGATCATCGAGCATGCTCCTCGAAACGGGCTCGAAAATAACGGTCCGGAGGGAGCGAACTGCAACGGCGAGCCTTCGCGAGCAGAGATCGCTCACAGCGATCGGCCGTTAGTCGTTAGAGAGGAGAGGGACGTCGTTAGTCGTCGGGAGGCGCGTTTTAGCGGGCGTTTGAACAAGCGGGACGAGAAGCGCGTCTCTTCTTCGCAGACGACGGCGACGGCGACGCTCTGTTCGCGCGCGCGCGCGATTTAAAGGAGTATACACGTACGAGCAGTAGTAATGGACGAGGGACGCAGGAGAATGACGGCCGTTGCGTCATTCTCGTACCAGGGTACCCTGGTATCCCACCTAGTCAGATTTCACCGTCAAAAATGCCGACGGCGTATTTGCTCGTTCCGCCACGACGCGGTCGCCGTGGACCACCCGTATTGCTCGCCGGCGCGAAAGTGGTTCTCAAACGGACGCGTCGCTCGCCACTGCGCCGCGGTATCGCGAGCCCTGGGCCCTCCCCCGCGCCGCGCCGCGCCGTGCCGCGCCGCGAAGTCGGGCCCGGCGCGAAGCGCGAGAACGCGTGTGCCGCCGGCCGAGGAGGTTCCCGCATCCGGCGGAAGTGCCGATCGCACATCTCGCTGCGAGCGGCGGCGGCGGCGGCGAGGAGAACGGATCTCCGTTGGAGGAGACTCGCATTCCAGCCGGCGGATCGTGAAGATACCCGCCGCGGTTTCTTCAGCGTGAACGGTGCGGCAATTAGCGTTAATCCGAGCGAGTCTGATCTCCTTCGCCGACTGTCAGTCGCGCATTCTTCCACGCGAACTTTGCTGTTGACTAAATAATATACACCTGCCAATCGCGCGCGCAATGTCGGTCAACTTTAATAGCGATAACGGTATCGTAACGAGGACACGAGTGGATTTTTTTCTTCCGGAAGAAAGAAAGGGAGAAAAAATCACCGGGCGGCATTGAGACCTCGCGCGGTGTCTGGACGGGCCCGGTGGGCCGCTAATGCCGGACTCGTCGACAATAACACCGTACGTCACCGTGACGACGGAGACTCTCCGGTGACGTAAGGCGCCACACCGCGGCCGCGAATTTGTGAGTCGGCCTGTAGAATGCGGCCGAGCACCGAGCGTAATAAAGACACTACTCTCTGCTCTACGAAGCAAGAAACGCGTGGCTTAACGGTGGAAAGCGGCGGAGAAGCAGGAGGAGAAACAGAGAGAAAGGGAGGGGGTGCCGGGATGAGGGAAGGGCAGGGAGAGAGAGAGAGAGAGAGGAGGGAGAGAGAGAGAGAGAGAGAGAAATAGCGAAAAAGGGCATCACCGGTGACGGAGAGGACGCTTAGAAGAAGAGGAGAGAAACGGCGAGTGGAGTATGGGCGAACGAAGAACGAGAGAGAGAGAGAGAGAGAGAGAGAGAGAGAGAGAGAGAGAGAGAAAAAAGAGAGAGAAGAGAGAGAGAGAGAGGAAGAGAGAGAGAGAGAGAGAGAGAGAGAGAGAGAGAGAGAGAGAGAGAGAGAGTGCTTGATTTATCGACGTGGCGTCTCTGTAATTATTTCTCCGTCCCTGTCTCGTTCGCAGAGGGCGAACTCCACCTCGCCGGTCTATCCGCACCCTTCCGGCTACCGTGATCGCAGCCGCACATTCGCGGCGCGAGAGGCAGCATCTTTCTCCTCCGCCTGCGTCCGCCTGCCCCCCGTCCATCGCAGCGTTTCCTCGATCCCGCTCTCGCACTCTCCACAGTCAGCGAACTCTCGCGCGCGCGCTCCGGGGCACCCTTGAATGGCCGCGTCGTCTTTCAGTTCTGTCGGCGCGCCTCATTCACCATTCCTCCTCTCCTATTGTTTCCGCGAACTTCCCGCATCCTGGAGGACGACGACGGCGCAGAGAGGGGGGGAGGAGGGGGCCGAGATATTCGCCCCCCTCCTCCGCCGCCGCCACCACCACATCCGATTTCCCGGTGAGCCCGCGTCCCGCCGCTCACCGCCGTCGTTGTTGCGTTGTTGTCAAAGTCTCCTTCTCGTCCACGATGGGAAGTTCTTCTCTTCAGGGTCAGACCGAGGCAATCATCGACGTTAATGCGATATCACGGACCGTCTAACGACCGCGTCTTCCAATTACAGAGAGAAAGAAGGCGGCCTATTAAGCCGAGGGTAACGATTTCGACTTGACCACTGGGAAGCGATCGATATGTCCGATCGTAAATCGACGTCCGGCCGGATCGGAGGTTCTCGTGTAAGAGGGAAATGAGAGAGAGAGAAAGAGAGAGAGAGAGAGACACGCGAGTTCTCCCTCCCTCCGCCGGCGAGAGGGAGGCAGCAGGTGCGCACGGCAGCTTTTCCATCCTTGCTTCGCCCCTGTCTCGCGTTTTAGGCCCCGGTTTCGTCCTTCGTCCTTTCGGACGAATCATCAAGTCCGAAATAAAGTCGCAAAGAATATTATATAGTCACGCGTGTATCGCGCGTGTTCGCAATCCAGTAGCGACGACTCCTCCCCCCCCGCAGCTTTGCATCGGCCAGTTTCTAAATTCCTCGAGGTGAAATCTCGGCGGAAAACGGGCGAAAATTCACTCGACGGGGTGATGGAAGTCCGTCGGAGTCGCAAGGGCGAATGTCCGATTCAGGGAGTCGCAAAGTGTTCGCGTTTCGGAACATTGCCTCGTATTCAGAAAGGGGCTCCAAATTCTAGCATTCACGGTTGACTCTCTCCATTGACGAAAGACGCTCTCGCGATGCTTCAGCAAAGGTCACACTCTGCACGAAGGAAAGCTTCCCCCCCTCTCCCCCAGGGTAAATCGAGTCTCCACTTTTCCGGTGAAACTGCAGTCTCCCAAGAGCGTTCGGGGTATCCTCGGAGTGCACGCGTGAGATCAGCGGAAAAAATCGGCCGAGACGATTTCCCAGCGAGGTGACGCAAGCACCTCGGTGGCTCGGCGGCCCGTTATCGTCCCGATTATTCACTCCACATCGCGCGAGATCGCGTCGCTCGCGTCGGGCCGAATCTA